CCTTCTTGCCCTCCTTTTTATCTGAGTATAGTAAATCTTGTAATTATAAAATATGCTTCATCATTGGTGATTTCACGTCTGCAGCTCAAAGTTCGTCTATAAAATATTCTACCATTTTCAGTTCTAAAGGACATAGATAGAATCAGTGGCGTAGCGTCCGGGTATTCAAGGTATTCAGTGAATACCCTGAGATTTCTCAGAAAAAATATTAATACGACGTATAATTGTAATAAGTAAAAAATGTTTTGGGGCTATTGGTTCTGGTTGAATTCGTTACCTCCGATATTCTACATTTTGTACAAGTACAAAATATCATCAAATTCATGGAAACAATAACGCTGCGAAGCATAGAGAAGCTGGGAGATCTTTGAAGCTAATTTTGAAGATTGAGCTACTTCATGTTGTATGGAGATCGGTCATGAATACGCAGTGAATACCCTAGACGGTACTTTAACCAATCAAAATGCTCCTTTCCATGAATAATAATTGCCGTTAATCAGCTAAAACAATGGTTCTGTACGCTGAGAAATATGCAGCGTACAGCCTCAAAGTTGGTTCAAAATAGTCTCGTTATGAGATCGATATAAACAGTTAATGGACGTCGAAGCGGAGCGATTGGAGTGATGGAGCTGCATCGAAAACAGTAAACATGACTTGATTAAAAAAACTATTGCAATGTCTGTATTACTGTTTCATAATCATTCTCTCATTTACCCCTAATCTTAATCTACCAACAGCAAAGTGGAAAGGAAAGGTAGGCTGCTACATAATACTACACTGACTCAGATCTGTTCCCTCTTGAAATGCCAATTTGTTATTGCTTGCCAATCAGGGATGTTTCTGTTTGTATTATGTGATAGAATTAAAGTAAATGCAGATAGGCCTGGATAATATCCTTATAGTTGCCTGGTGTATTCAGTTATCTTGTTGGCCTATTTTGTTTGCATTATTCGAGCGCATTTATGTGCAGTCTCATCTCATTACCTTCGATTCTTTCAAATATTAACTTGTATTGAAAATATCACGATTAGGCCATGAAGAAAAAGTCTATACTGCATACCACAAAACCATTTATAACTCATGTAACGCCCTATGTGAATAATTTTGAAACTTTCGAAAGCCCTTTTGTATTAAGGTATTAAGAGTAGGTGTTTACAGTTACTTCCTCTTTACATCAGTGCAAATGTTAGACGATTCAACAACAACTATTGGGACATATTTCAACCAGTAAAATTTTACTGGCTTTCAATGATATGTTTTGATTCGAATTACTTTTGATGAAATGGTTAGTGGTAATTTGATGCAATGAATGAGTTCGAAGAGTATATTTGAAGGGTCCTTTAGCAAAGTATCGTTTTCGTCATAGTAATGCCCTGACAGTGCAGTACTTGCCAACCGAACCAAAAAGAAAATTAGATAAAATGTCAATAGCTAGTCCTTTTAATTATCCTATTATCCCCCTATTTTCATCAAGCCCCATCGAGCCACACCCTGCCCCACCCTTTTGTTTATAGAGAATACCCAGTTGAAAAAGTCACGCTACGCCACTGGATAGAATGGATCTATAAATGTAAAAGATTACTCGCAACTACGGGTTTCTAGTACAGACAGATGGCGATTTCCCCATACTTATATGTAATCACTGCTTTCAATAGCAAAACTGTATCACTAACGAAAGTTTGTTTCAATAGTATGAGCGTATTGATAAGTATTCCGGGTTATTCATCGTATACAGCGAGTTAAAATATGCTTGTATATGCAGTGGCGTCGCGTGACCATTCTCGCTTGTAAGAGGTGCAAAACCATATTTTACCGACAGAAATTCTTTTGTTACCTTTATATTCTCTTATAAATTTAATTCTATCGACAAGTTCTCTGAAAGTTAGGGGGGTGTACACCTCCCCCACACCCCCCCCGCATGCTACGCCCCTGTGTATATGCATCTTTTCAAGCAAAATATCCAGAGGGGCGCCAGCCCTAAAATAGTTGGATGGATATTGAAGAGGAGGAGCTGATGAAGCGGTGCAACTTTGTTATACTTACAACTTAAAAAATGTTTTGGTGCAAGTTTCAAAATTAGTTATTGCTAAAAACCTTTAAAAAGGAAGCAAGGCAATAACCACACTCTAAAAACCAACTTTTTACCACGACAAGCTGTGTTTTATAGATCATCTTCATCATAGTTTCTCACTACAGAACTGATGATCCAACACATCATACTCCATGTCAGCTAAGATCTGAAGAAGAACCGTAAAGGACCATCAAAAGGGAAAAAAGTTCCGATCCCAGAAAAGAAAACTTAAACCCCACCCTTATGTTTATTGTCCAGTTTTGGAAAAATTAGAAAATCGATCTTTAAAAAAGGTGGGGTGGACATATCCACCCCAGCCCACCCCTTGGCACCGCCCCTGAAAATATCTATGAAATATAAACATGAAATATAAATGTAAATATATCCCTATGAAAACGAAATCTTAAAGGTTCTGAAAACATTGGTTGCAAATGCCCCTACAGCCCTCCAATTATGGCTGCTCTGAGTTCACAATCAGAAATGTAAGCGTTACCTAATTCCCTAAAGTGCTGAATTTTCACCATTGCTTCAAACATACACTAAATTGAAGCCAGCCAGCACCGGTCGCTCTTTTCCTTTCATCTGATAAGTCAGAAAGGGAAGGCTTTTTCATAACTCATCAAAAAAACTGATCACTTCAAAACAAAGGATTGATTTTTGAATCAAAATAAATACTCTAGTTATAGAAAAGACCCTTTCCCCAATCTATCCCTTACACGTAGGGGCAATGGAAGATGCCCCAAAATTTTGAAAAGACAATGCTTTCGTGTCGGAATTTGAATTGCTAAAACTGTTTCTCTTGCGACGCATTGTGGTGGAAAACGAGAAAATAATACACAGTGGGCAATAATACTGCTCACAGCATTTATCAAAGTTTTACAAGTAAACATTTGCGATTGTCAAAACGTGATTTGCTTTTCACTCTTGCGCGCAAAATAACTAATTATGCTTTCGATTCAATCACACCAGCCTAATAAACTGGACTGTGTAATTTCACACACAAGGTCCTCGGATGAACTGAGAAGCTAGTTGAACAGCGGATTAACATGCTTTTCCTGAGTCTCATCCTTATTAGGATGTTGTTTAACTTTATTCATCGCTATATTGTTTATTTTCCTTCCTTCTCTTTGATTCTTTTATGCCTGTTGCCATTGCTCGCCACTCTCAACCATTGGTTATTATGCCTAATCTTTTCGTTGTTGATAATATCTTTATTCAATGGATATAAGATGTAAGGCGTGCAGTCAAGTCAAGCAAGTAAAGCCGTCATAATCCCCGAAATTGTTTGTTCCTTCATTAATGTTTCATACACCCATTGATTATTGGTTGCTTCGGTGCATGCAATTTCTTAATTTGCAAGGAGAATTTACATTTTGATCTAAGAATAGCATTGCTTGGTAATAAAAATGAAGTCGAAATAACAAAGTAAGTATTCAATACTTTGGACAAGTAATGGTCTGAATCAATTACTAATTCCCTAGGAAAATGATAATTTTTGGTTTATGGTGAATCATTTTGTATTTGTATAGAAAAATAAGGTTTAATTTGTGCATTATTCAACTTGTCGTCTTTAGTTTTCTCGTTTCTTCTTTCCCTTTCAGTTTGTAGTTCTTGTCATGGCGCTCAAGGCGTATCTGCAGAATGCCGGAGTGAGTCACCTATGACTCGCTTTACGCTACTCTTTTCGAATAGGTTTGTTCATATCCTATAGTTGCTAGCAAGGCTGTGAACCTTGAATGACAGGTAATGATATCCAATCTCCGAATAAGCACCATTTATTAAATTTTCCCTCTTTATGGGGGGCGCTCATTCGAGTTTGAGGGATGGTACTCATTAAGTTTTAAAATGCAATCAGACTTGATTCACTCGAGTCCATACTTTGAATTTTTAAGCAATCTGCATTAAACAGTAGATTTTGTGACAAACAAGCAATGCAGTAGGAAGGATAGAATTATTGGGGGGGGGGGACATTAGAAACAAAGGATCATAAAAGTTATTCTTGGTTTGGGAAGAAGGTTCGAGCCCCCTCAAGAACAATGTAGCTCCGGCCGTGCAAAAAAGCAAAAGTTTTGAACGATGAACTTCTGAAAGTAAAGACATAATACTAACTCAAGCAGAATCAAATCTTAGATGACCATTTACTTGGATTGGTAGTCCTAGCTTTATTGGGAAATTTAAATGAAGAAATAGAAAGTTCTAAATTGGTAGAAATTTGTTGACCGTAAATAAAAAATGAACTACTTTTTGTTTTGTGCGAGTTATATATAAAGATACAATTGGCTATTTAATACATTAATCCTACATTTAGGCCAACAGTTGCAAAATAAACAGATTGTATTTCCAGTTCCTTACCATATCATTGTATTCAGAAATGAAATTTTCCTGAAAAGTGAGTCATGGCTACCCATAGAAAGGCGTGTATCTAGAGATGGTAGATTTTGCCCTAAATGTTGCTTATTCTTATCCTTCCTGAAATGAAGGATTTGTCCCATGGCTTTGGGTGGGGGGGGGGGTGGCTGATGGTGCTACATAATTTTAATTGATTTCATAATTTAATTCGTTTTGCTCGGACTTTTTTCTTCTAAACTTTCATCTTACTTTTTATTTTATCAAACGTCATTTATCTACCGCAAATCAAGCCTCGATGTTCACATAGTGTGTCATAAATAAAGGCATTTTCAATAGAATTTATTAGTTTATAATTTTCCAAGATGCTAGCCATCATGTTTTAAATGTCGAGGAAATTTCTTTCTCCTTGTTGCTCCCTTCAAAGTCGACGATAGAAATCATCTCCCCCCCCCCTCCAACACCCGCACTTTCTCCAACACCCGCTACAGTGTACAGGTTTCTTTTGTCTTGCAACGCTTGTAAAGCACAATGCGTGCTTGAGTAATATGACATAAACTACGAACCCATTTCATATATTTTCACCCATTTGCCTTTGATCGCGCATCAATAAACAATAGCCTGAGTTTGTTAGCAAAAAATCATGATGTAGTCATTCTGCGTAGGCTTATCAAGTACACTGAGTTAATCCCGAAAAATAAAAGAAAATAAGCGACGAATCTTTACATATTAATCATAAACGCACTTGTTAACATTATCAAGCTATCAAAACGTGAGGACTGGTAAGTTTTCGTATCATTTTTAGCAAGTTTTGTTTCTTTTTCAAATTCATAGTGTCAGACTTGGCAGGTGAAGCGAAGTTCATGTTGTATGGAGGGTTTCCTTCTGTATCATGGTAGAGAATTTACTTACTATATCGGTGGAAAGTAAGTGACCCATTGCTCGATTGTTTTGGTTTCTCATTCAATACCTTCCATATGCTAAATTTGAAAGCTTACATTGTGTCGGAATCCGTAAACATGTTCGTACCCCCACCGTTTCTTTCAACACGCGTGCATTCACTTTAGGCCAAGTCCGTTTCTGTTCAAAGGTAACAAGTTATTTATTTACCCCTACTACAGCATGGGCGTAAGTTTGGGTTAAGAGAGCATGTCAGTGAAATTTTAGACCATTCTTAACACTTCTTTGATTTGGAATAGGTGATTTTGAATGGCAGTAAAGTTCAAAAGAAGATGGCGTGCTGTTACACTTTTCAATTTCAGTTTCCATCATTTTGTCGTTGCGAACAAAGGATTTTTATGTAATTAGCAGTTAAGTATTTTGGTATCGACGGACAGAGAGATCAGTGAATTGTTAATGGCAGACGAAAGGGACTAGATTAGAGGAGTAGTGGTAGATTAAGCAACGGGCTTACTGCATGAAGAGCGTACCTGCATTTGTTAATTAACTGCCGTTTTAAAAGAAATTTTACCTTTTTAACGGACACGTAGGAATTCACTTAATTCCGTCCTTTTGGTGGATGTTTCGACAGTCTTGAATCGATTTCGTAATTATGGTCCTCTTCAACGTTTCAAGGGTGCTGCCAGAAACCCAAATCTCTAAAAACTAAAACGTTTGGTTGCCTGTGTAGCAGATCCTTACGTTTATTGGCAATTGTGTGTTAACAGGCTTTATTTCTTGTGTAGCCCAATATTAGTATGATATTTTTGAGACAAAGAACTGTAGGTTTTCAAAGTATCAATTTATATGCACCAAATAAGAAATTAAGATTTTCTTTAAAAATGATACTGCAGATGTATTCATTTTTTCATCTTTCAACCTGGTGAATTCATGCTGAGTATCCATATTTTTTTTTACATTTTAGAATATTTAGTATCAGCATCATAGATTTATAAACCTGAAAATGTAGACATTATTAATAAAATAGACTGGTAAAAGAAGATAACACACAAATTTGTGTTTGCTTTGCCACCTGCCCAAAATTCTGGTGGTGACTGTGAACAGCCATTAAGTTTTTACATCAAAACAGTGAACAATGATTCTGAAGCATGGAAATAAAAAAAATAGTTGAAGAAAAAAAAACAGTTGTTCATGGCAATTTCATGTCTTTGTTTGAGCTCCTATGCATAAAATACCCCACAATGTAATTTTGTGCAGAATATTTGTTGAATCTTCATTATATCCTTTTTAATAGAATGACCAACATAATGTAAAGACAGATAAATTATATAATGGGCATTGATTTCCAAAGACTAACATAGTTTTTTATCAAAACATCATTAAAAAGATTAAAAATTGCAAAAAGAAGAAAATAGAAAGGAATATTGAAATTGAAAGGAATTTTTAAAACCAAAATATGATGTGTTTAACAAACTAAAATGTTTTTTTGCATGATAAATTTAAACCATTTTCATCTTCACCCAAGCTACGATTTACTTGAAATTAAAAATCTGGTTTTGGTCCACATGAAATTTCTACCTGGGGTGAGTTTTACTTCTGTTGATCCCAGTGTTTTTCTGTCTCCTCTTTTAAGCATCGAAGATGCTTAAGGTGGCCCATGTTGAGAAAACTGATTGTTTATGTACATATTTCCCCACATTTTTTGGCAAGGTTTCAATTTTGGTAAAGCAAATTGATGTAATTTGTGCTAGAATTTTATCACACAAAACATTACACATTACAAGGTTAATTTTTAGATGCAATAGTGACAGCTTGTTTCTAGCTTATGTTTAACTATCTCAACATATATTCAACAAAATTTCTAAATTGTAACAAATCTTTTATCAGAATATATCTGCTGAGAGAGTACATAAAGACTTTAGTAGAATAACTACATCAACTTTCAAACATAAATTACATGTAATTTGTTGCTCAATTCTCAAGTAATATTGTATTGTTACTGTTACAGTCTTTTTTAAATCTCTAGAAGTCATTGGTTTTGGGTTACTTTCTTTGTGCTATTTTTATTTAAAATTGATTGAAGGGAATTGTTATATATTGCTAGCCACTCATTTAGTATTCACTCAATCTAGATTCGTGTGTCAAACAACTTTTTGGTAATCATTCATTAATATCACAAAAGAATTAAGAATATATTTATATTTAACGGGGCACATGTATGATAAAAATATATTGTCACTAACATTTTTTTTTCATTGAAGATTGACAAAACCCTTCATCTAAATGAACTCTTTAAATAAACTGCCAGTATTGTCATCATCATCTTCACTTTTTTATAATACCTTGCTTTTTCTTATTCCAAATAAAATATCATTCTTGATGAAACATTGTACAAGTCTTAATGATCAGCTTAGGTGATGGTTGGACTTTGCTCTGCCATGCCAAATAAGGAGCAAAATTGGTTTTCTAAGAATTTCATCATGCTGTACCAACCTGGCTGTGCAAAAGTCACTTGGTTTGGTGTGGCACAGCACAACTTTGAAAAGTATATGTCAACAGTGATTTTACAATGATTTCAATTTCTGTAAGATGTGAGAAATCAAAGATAGTTCCAGGCTAACAGGCAACATGAGCACCTCGAAAGAATTGTGGCAGCTGTCAAATACTGTGATTATTGCACATGGTAAAGGAGCAAGCTTGCTATTCTGTGCTACAAAAATTTCATCAATGACCACATCAGTTTGCTATAGTAAAAAAATGTCACATGATATCATGCACAGCTAAGGTTGTGTGTTAGTTGCTGCAGTTGATAACTGACTGCTTGTTATTTTTTCTTGTAGTGAATAATATTAGAAAGTAGCTATATGCTTAGACCTGATATCAACATTTTTGTCATGCCTTGAATTCATATTTGTAGAAGGATGTATACAATTTTTAGACATATTATTTGAGCTGCATCTTTTTGTTGTTCATTGAGTAAATGAATTTGCAGTTTAAAAATGCATCACAAATTAATCCATTAATCCAGCTCTTTTCAAAATAAATTTCAAAATAATTTGAAAAGCTTGTCATAAGAGAAATGTATCCAGTTGGTGCTAACTCAGCATGTAGGAAATATAAGTTAGCCTTATGTAACATGTTCAACACCAGGATTGCTTTTAATTTTGCTGCCAGCATAATATTTTGCAACTGTGTTAGTGAACAAGATAATATTCTTGAAAAAAGAGTTGCACAAGTCTTTGTGTTTACTTTCCAGCCTTTTAGTTTTGGGCCATTTCTTTACCAACATAATCTAGACTAAAGGAAGTTATTTTTGCTGTTTTCCCGAATGGTACTGTTTCTTTGCCATAAAGTCAATCAAAAGCCTCACAGCCAGCAAGAACAAGATTGTTGCTCCAGTTGTTTTGCTTCCCATATCTTAGAGAAAATGTTGAATAGATATCAAGTAATGAATATAATTAGGGTTTATAGTGTAAATTGAAATCTAGAAAAAAATATGCTTAGAAGAAATTGAAACTAAGGTATATTCTCAGTTTAGATGAAAGCCCTAGAGAATAACCTTAATTGGTGAATTCTCTATTGCTCAGTCGCTTTTCTAGTTTAATTTATAAAGAATTTATTTTTGTTTGTGGCAGAGTGATGTTTACATTAAAATTTTAGCTTTATTAGGTGTCTTTGTTTTTATACAAGACATTAAAATGTTTAGATTTCTCCCTTATACTCCCTTAACGTTTTTTTGTTAAATTATGTTTGTTACTCTGTATCACACCTCTGGGTAGGCCAAAATGCAACAGAACACAATGGTCTCCTTTCCGAGTATTTGTAGGCCAAAAATAGCATAGTAGTAGAAGGCTTTATAGTAGAAGCATGATTAAATTTCGCAAAAGAAATTATGCCCGTCCTCGAATTATTTAGGTTCATGAAATATAGGCACGTTGCTTATATTCAATAAACAGAATAATTCAGTTTGGTTCTTTCACAAAGTGCCGCTCGATTTCAAAGCACTTCGACCACAAGCCAGGAGATAAGCATTGATTTTTTGGTCTGTAAACTTGCCAGTGTGTTACTCTAATAAATCAATAAATAAGAAACCATTGAAGCTTCTAGACTTCCTGTCAGATGTTTTAAAATTGAATAAGAATTATGAGTTTAATCTCATGTATGGATTAGATGACCTAATAGTTCTTAGAATGGTGCTTTAACAGCCACAGAGAGTTTTGTTTCATATTAATTTCATTTTGATTGAAAAAATCAGTCCCCCGATTTGTTGTTTCTCATTTGTAAAATTGAAGAGCTTTCCGATTTAAGAGGCAAGGGATAGAAACATTAAAATTTTTGTTCTGCAAATCATTGTATACCGATCTCCGTTAGCTAGACTAGTAATTGATCGACCAGCCTCCTGTTTATCGTTATTCTCATCTAAAAATTGAGAGTATCCGACGGGCGGCCTACTCCTTTCATTTTGGCCAAGCAAAAGATTTTTTGGCGGTATGCCCCTAAGTATTTCCGAGGGGAAATTCACTCTTGCAAATAGCGTACGAGATTTTCCCAAAAACAAAAGATATTCTGGGGATTTTCAGCTAAAACAATAGGATTTCCACTTTGCCTATGAGACGGAATTTTGCGTCGAAGCATACGGCCTCATTTTCTCTAAACAGCAACGCGAAGAGCGGTGAGCGATAGTGTATTGACATTTTCACCGTAATGAAAAAGTTTATATGATTGACGCCAATATTGATTATAACAAGACAAATTAGAAGTTACATATTTGAAATTTTTTTAACCTTTAATTGCAAAAAAGTGAGAAAGCCATAGCCCCTGCTACCCCATACAACATTGTAAAGTTAATGGGGTTTGGCTGCTAATTTACGAGACTACTGCCAGCTACTTGTATGGAATCAACGTCTTTAAGTTTATCACAGAGAAAAGCGCTGTCAAGGTGTTCTTAATTCATGAATACAATATTTTAGCACAACTTTGCCAAGATTCTTAAAAAAAACTTTTTCAACAATTTTACCTAAGAAAAGGGCGTTGTCCTGGTTCTCCGGGAGTCATAAGGGCGGTTGCCTCCTTGGGGCCCAGTTCTTTGGACCCCTTCCGGGCTCTAGCGGGCTCTCAAAGTCCTGGAAAGCATATGATAGCTTGAAAAGTGAATTGGCCGGTCTGTCAGTTTCAAAAGAAAGTATACTCGTTAGTTGATTACACGTAATTCGATCTTCCTAACGACTCTGCTTATCCTTTACTGGTTTACCTATTACGTCACTTGCCCTCGGCGTTTTCATTTGCTTTTAAGAGAGGAATGTAAATGATCCTTGGCATTTTTGGCGTTAGTCCCACTTAGTAAAACAAGAACCAAAGGTAGTTTGCAAAAACATGTAGATTTTATGCTTGTAAGATCTAGAGAGAGAGAGAGAAAGAGAGAGAGAGGGGGGGGGGGGTATATTCCTTAATATGCTTCCTTCTGTACCAAAACATTTCACTGATATGTAAAAAGAACTGGTTTTGATAAGAAATAGTTAAACCCATGTTCATGCTTGTAATAGCCGCAAGCTTTTAGCTGATTCATGTTTATAAAGTTCTTACGTCATTTGGCTTACCAAGCCTGTATAACAAACCTGCCAGATGAATTTGCATTGTTTTTACTTTCCCTGAAACACTTATCTTCTTTTTTTAGGAAAAAGAACACAACTTCAAAATGTCAGGGCATCGTTACTCTCCAAGCACCCAAAAGCACGAACATTCGGCCAGTTTTGTGCATAAAAATGGGATGAGGTCCCCGAAGATATCACCTTTGTCCCAGTCTCTTTTGGACGACGGGGAAGATAGAGTGCAACTTCACCGATTGATTATAGCCAACGACATTGTGGTGTGCATGCCACAGGTGAACAAAGTATTGCGTACGGTCTATCAAGTACTGTCACAGGCCAACTACTACCTGTCAAAGCATGGCATCTCCTCAAGGCGCTTTTCAGGTGCACAGCTTATCAAAATCAAGATGTTAGGGATCCTAAACCATGACGCAAAAGTATGCTCATACATCAAGCAACAAGAAGCAGAAAGGATATTTGATAGCTTCGACCTTTCTGGTAGTTGTCACAAAAGTGGCAAGATCACATGGATGGACCCTATTCTTCTGGACGAGAATGGCCCTGAAGCAATTAACGGAAGCAAAGATTCAGATTCGGACCGCAGAAAGTCAAGCGCCAGCCCGGTCGATATCCAAGTGTTTGAACTGAATAAAGATTACGTTGTCTGCGCACCAGATATCCAGAAAGTCATCCAGACTCACTTTAATCAAGGAGCAACAACTGGCTACTATTTTTCTAAGTTAGGTATTGTGCCCTTCAAATTCATACATTCAGCTCATTTGGATAAAGTAAAGGAACTTGGTATTATCAAGAAGTCAGCTGTGCATTGCACGTACGTTGCAAAGGATGATGCGAAACGCGTGTTTGAAGCCTATGGAATGACCCCTGAAGATATGAAATCGAAGATTAATTGGCTATCAGCCATTAGCCTTGATGATCTACCAGGATGGAGCTCCCATCGATCTATTAAGAGAGAACATATGCAAAGTCCATCCCAGAACAGCAGTAGTCCCCATGGAAGTGAACAGTATGATGATGATGTTAAGGACAATGCCTATGGTTCTAAAATCGAAAAGAAGCTACCTGCAAAAGTTAGTGTGTTTCTAGTTGAAGGGAAAGAGGTGGTGTGCATGCCCGACATACACCGTATAGTGCAATCAGTCCATGGCAGTAGCATACAGGTTAATTATTATCTGAATAAACTGCACGTGAAGAAGAAGCGATTTTGTTTTGCGCATTTAAAGGAACTGAAAGCCCGTGGTATTTTGCAGGGTAATGCAACTTACTGTACATACATACCAAAGGTAGAAGCTGAGAAGATATTTCAGATATATAGTCTAATGGGAGACCAACGTATCAACGAATTAGAGTGGAGTGAAACGCTCAGTCTTGATCCTTATGGTTCAAGGGGTGATTATGGCAACTCGCGGTCGGGATTTTCAGAAGGGAATGATGAACACGAGCCTGCTGGACTAAGCGTAGCAACTTTCATTGTCGATGGTGAAGAGGTTATTTGTACGCCAGACGTACACAAGATTGTAGACTATTTAGAAGAGCAAAGTGCGTCACTCGATTACCATTTTAGGAAGCTTGGCATTGTAAAGCATCGCTATACCTACTCACAGCTTCATCAGCTGAGACGGCTGCAAATTATCAAAAGGCCAACGGTTTGTACTTACATCCGCAAGATCGACGTAGAACAGCTGCTGCTTATGTATGCAACAGAGCGCAATAGGCCTAAGATGCAGAGGATCCACTGGCAGGATGCAATGCCTCTTCTAGCAAGTGAACAAGGCCCCCAGCCGACGAATGAGAGCCCCAGTGCAAGCCCTGCAAACAACACTCACAACACTGAAGAAAATAACAGCAACCATCATGCATCTACACCAGATTATGAAATGTCAGATCTCTACAAAATGTATGTGAGTGATAAGTGCCATTCTGAGCCAGATGGTTACAATGATGGTCATGTTTCCATGGCGACCGGGAGAAACCACAGGTCCAATCATGCAATGACGTCGATTGCCGACATGCAGCAGACCAATCCTCACATCGACTGCCCAATCGTCATTCCAAATGCTGACTTCGATCCAAAGAACTGCTCAACTCCTCTCAACTTTGGGCCTTTGACCTCTTCTCATGGAGTTATCCGCTCAGATAACAGAGAAGGTATGGTTAAAGGCATTTTGACTTATTGCAGTGCTTTCAAGCAATGTGTTTTGTTGCTATCCACTTACTTTACGATGTTCTTTTTTTGCCAATCAAAACGAAATCTGTTATGGTAGTCATTGATATTAGCACCAAATTCTTCAGATTTCAAGTTTTTCATAACTGTATAGTTGTTATGAATGGATTCGTAATTGTCTCTAGGACGACTAGAATTAGTTACACTAATTTTTTTATTCAAATTTTCAAGGTACCAGTTCACCTTTGAAAAGAAGAATGTATGAGAATGATGATTCCCCAGCTTCTAAAAAACAGAAAGGTAAGGAACATAATATGGCTTTTAGTTTAGTGTGGAGCGTTGGTTCTGTTTTAATTATTATTACTAGTGTAGACGGTGGGCGTTGAAGGACCAGCGAAAATCATAGCCGATTTTTTTATATTGGACATCGCATTGATTTTGTTCTATTTTGATTTTTTAGAGAGTGAAATCATTGAAAGACTTCTCAAAGACCTGCACAGGAAGGAAAATGAATTTCGGTATCTGCATGGTAAGTAAATGTTAATTTCTTTTGAAAGAAAAGGATCCACCCTCCCTCTGCTGGAAGAATAATATAAAGATATTCATTCATTGATAGCAATACTACTACGTTTAATGAAGACTCTTTATGCTGTCTCCAAGCTGCTGTTGGTACCTTCAGTCCTTTCATAGTTTGTTGCAAGGAGTTTAGAAACACCATCGTATTCAAAAAAAATAAATTGGCAACAGGGATACCTGGTTTATACTGGCAGCGTGGATTTAGCCATCTATTAGATGAGGACATTGCAGTCTGTCTGTATTTATTTCATTGCGATGTAACTTACAACAGGCTAATGTATCTCCACATAAGGCGACTAATAATGCTTTGGAAATGAGCCGGTGACGGGGGACTCAAATATATGTGACTGGAAATGTTATTGTCTGAAAAAAGAACTTCCTCCAAACAGAAACGCTTTTTAGTGGAGGTTTTATTATTTTCAATATAACAGAAAAACAATGTGGCGAATTTAAGTCCTTTGTCTTAGTACGTGTTTCGTATAGATAAAAGACAGTCTGAATGTAATACATTTCTGAATCAGCAGTGGATTACATGCTTCGTTATATCATGTCACTTGGAACTAGAGGTGAACAATGAGAAACTTTTTTCTTTGCAGATGCATATCAACGAGAAATTAGCATCGAGCGAGAGAAAAGAGTTGAGGTAGAAAGTGAACTCCACAAACTCAGAGGTGATTTTTAGATTCAATCGGCTTTTAAGCATAAGAGGAACCAGCTAATTCTCTTCCAAATCATTCACAATAAAGTCGGAAACTTGAACACTTTTCTAATTTGCATGTACCTCACATGTACCTAAAGACACAGCTGTTAATTACATTTTATTATTTCTATATTTAAATATCATATGATATCCCTTCAACGTCCTGTCAATGGTTTGCTCTTTGGCCGGAAACTGTCCATTGCTGACATTGCTGACATTGGATAATGCTGTATCCATTCACCAACGCAATCTATATACTTTGATGATAGTAATATGCAAAACTAAACATAACTTGAACCCTAGTTTCATGAAGGAGATTCTTGAAGCAAGAAATAAAAAGTGGGATTTCAAGTTTCATGAAGGAGATTTGCGAAATGAAAATAACCTTTTGGCATTCCAAAAGCCAGGACAACTTCTTATGGTAAAGTGTGAGATATTTAGGTCAAAAGCTGTAGCAAACACTACCTCACAGTCTAAAAGAGTTCCAATCATTAGCAACTTTTAAAGAAGTATTAAGAGCACACCTTATAGAATGTGACCGAAAATTATGTAAAATATTTATTGCTGGGTTAGGTTTAATTAAGAATATTCTACCTTAAACATTTTTCAACATTGTACCATATATTCATTTAATACTAATTCATTTTATATTATTTTGTCATAGATTGTTGGCCTTTATTGGCTTCTTCGCCAACTGTAAACAAATTATTTCTTATTATTTTTATTATCCATCAGATATTCTTGATGAAGTTAAATAAAGACACTCAGCTTTTTTATGAAAACATTTTACACCATTTTGTTCCATTCATTTTGATTCCGTTCATTTTCCACGATTGAATTAACTGCTGTTGAATAGATTTATTTTAAACCTTTACTCTCAGTGCTTATTTATTGGTACAGTCTCAAAGATTTGGCAATTTCAGATGTACATTTAATATTTCGCATCTTCTATAGATGATCTTGGCATGGAAAGGCAAATAAGAGAGAGACTGGAAGATGAACTAAAGCACATTAAAGGTTGGTTATCAGCTCATCATTGAATTACAATTTTACTCAGGGATCATTAAACTCTGGATTACTGTTGTGTTAAAATGTTTCACCCCATCCTTAATCATTTTGAATACATTCCATCTTCCCACGCGGCCCGATTTGTTCTAATTTCTTGTTGGTAAACATTTTTATTTTTATGAACAGTTTTTTGGCGGTACGAACTTGAAAGTGGCTTTGAAAAAAGCAAACATTTTAAAACATTAACTAAAAGCTTTTTCGTCTGACACTCCTCAGAGCATAAAGCGTCAGAATGAAGGTCCGAAAGAACACGATGAAAAATAAATAGCTACCCAGTTATTGAATAGGCCAATCAGAAAAACTCAAGCACAAGACCGGTATAGTTGACCTATCAGTGCTGCGTGCCTATAGAAAAATTACCACTGGAGTCCAAGAGAGAGTTCAAGAAAGACTTTTATTTTTCATATATATACAGTTGGCTTTTGTAATTGAGACAGGGAGTTAATCAATCTCACCAGTTAGCGGTAATGCATCTGACTGAGCTAAACAAACCTAAACAATTGATCAATCGAATAGCGAGTTTTAAACTTGACCAATCACAATTGATCAATCGAATAGCGAGTTGTAAACTTGACCAATCACAATTGATCAATCGAATAGCGAGTTGTAAACTTGACCAATCACAATTGATCAATCGAATAGCGAGTTTTAAACTTGACCAATCACAGCCACCCAAAGATCTACATGTCAGATGATCTGGACGCAGTCGCTCGTTGAAGCTGATATTCTATCATCTCGATCTTAATCCCAGCTTTTTATTTTGATCTGAATGTCTTTCTTAAAAAGCTAAAATTTTCTGGGATATTTAATTTGTCATATTGTATACTTCCACAATAATGAATTTAGAGATATGTTATTTTTTACAAAACACGAAGCTTGCACCACCCCCCTGTTGTGCAGTTCAGTTTAATCAAGCAATCTTATCGTAGTGTTCAACAACTTTTAAAGGCAGTCTTTTTCTTTGTCATGATAGTTCATGTTTTTCAAGTTACTTAGTTTACAAGGGGCAGTTTTTTTAGCCATTTGTACGAAAAATATTAGATCTCGTATATTTTTAGCTCATACTATATTTTTAGCAGCTATTAGGCTCATATAATGGCCTAATAGCTGCTATACAAAAGCAACAGCGTTCCGTATGCACCAGATCGAAAATTTTAATCAATGAAAGCTGCTGTCTATAGCTTTATGGTGTTTCTGTTTTTCAAAGATGCTCAGAGCAACTGAAATTAGTTTCAGGGTTTACTCGAAATGATGCATTGCCTATAGGTCGAGCAAGCAACTGTTTAATGATTCACTGTCTTTCATTGTTTGACATTTCGTAATGGACAAAATTCACTACCAGTCCAAAGCTATTAACATTGCAAATATAATATTTGTTTGATAAAATGCAAGTTCCCAAAGAAACCTAATCAAATAACTTTAGCTAAAAATTGCGTTTTTTTAATTGCACAATAAAATAGAGTCACGGTTGTCATCTATTCAGCTGTGTCAACAAACAGGCATTTGCAAATGAAGTAATGCAGTTGGTCATTGTTTTTTGTTCTAAGTAACAGTTATAGGTAAATGGAGATTAAGGGAAAAATGTTGGTTTACACAAGTGTTATTCTATTTTACAATTAATGTTGGACAGCTGTCTTGATAAAAAAGATCTGTCAAATGTGTGACTCGCTTGTCTTTCTAAGTGAAATAATTACAGCTAGTAACGGTTTCGTTTTCTTTGTCTAGAGAAACATTCGACAATAATTTGATGCCATGTTTTACAGAAACCGTAAAAAAACATTTTACAGAAAAGCTATTATTGGGCTGATGTACCTTTGCATATTGATAACTTTCTAAAATGCTAACTTTCTGATGTTAAATCTGAATAATTTTGATGACCATGAAAAAGCTTATGCAGATTATGTACACTTTTGTTTGTTACTATGAAACTCGATTGTCGTTCTACTGTTTAGGTAAATTGCTTTTGAGTTTGTCTCGAAGTTTTACTTAACATTTATATCAATTTCCTCATCCTCCTTTGGCCTTTTTCTATATAATTATTGCCATTTCGTACACAGCTTTTTGATAAAATATCGATGCCTTAGATTTTTGAGTGTTTTTAATATATTTCTAATAGATTTCAAGTAATGCAATTTATATGTTATCTCTATGCAAGTAATTTCTATGTTATTTATGCTTCAGAGGCTGCTGTAGAGGACCCTGCCACTAACTGAAGAAAAAAAGAAGGCCTGTAAATACGATAGATATAGGTAAATATAACATACTGTGTTTTTATAACTTGCCTAAAAATTGTCTAAAAACAGTCTTGTTGACAAAATTGACATTGTCTAGTAGCAATTTTTATCATTTTTCAGCACCCTTGTTCCACAAGTAGGCTAATCTGTTTACTGGGTTTACAAGAAAGGAATTAACCAATGGAAAGTTTTCAGAGAGTTCCAAGATAACCCATCTTGAAATAAGAAATGAGATTTTTAATGAGATGAAATGAGATGTCTCTGGCTAAATAGGGAGTAAGGCCAGACTCTGTATCCAGAAAAAAGTCCTTATTTTTCATTTTCGTTTTGATGACGGAGATTTGGCAATCTTTGAAGTTTGGCCCTATCCTTTTTCTGTTCAGATCAAAAATACAAATGTATTCTAGTCACTGGCAGCCTTACCTGCCGACCCTGTTTCGTATTTAATGTTAATGTATGCAGGAATGTTAAGGCATTTTTAACCCGCACAAATCTATTCCACCACCATTTTGATGGTTTGCGTCGTTTTCTCTTTCAGGTACCCAGAAGTAACTTTGATTGATTGTTTGATTGAAATTAATAGTAATCACGTCGAAGTTTGTATTCTATTAAAAAGTTTCCTAAGATATTGATCAACGCAGAAATTATACTTTTACCTTGATATTACGCTTTTACATTACATTCAACGCCTAGCTATTTATTTTCTCTTGCAGAAAACTATTTGAAAACAAAACAGGATATGTATTTTATGGGTTTTGTAATCCGTTTGTTCACCTGTAACTTCTTCTTGTACTGATAATCAACTGACAGCTTTTGATTTGTGTAGAATATTGCCCCAAATTACCATAAAAAGATGCAATATCTGATGAATCAGAAAGTATTCACGCAGCATGTAATCATTCATTAGCCTAGCTTAAACCCTACCCATCTTCCTGTTCCCAAACCCCCACCCACCCCGGTTCCTCCCATCCCCCTCTTCTTATCCATCCGCCTGTCCCTCCTCTGTCCCCACCAAACTCCTGTCCCCTTCCATCCTTCTTTACACGTATTCACAGTCCATAACCATCTCTCTTTCCTGGATGGACTTTTGCCATGACATTTCCCCTTCTTAACCTATTTTTAGTCATACCTTTATTTTTGCACCAATCGGTACAAGGTACAATGTAGATGAAGAGAACGCAACCATTTTACCTCTTGCAAAATTCACAATATTTGCTGTCGTTTTCTTGTTTGGAAATGATAATAGCTAATACTCCAATGCCACGTCTGCAGTCATATGCTGCAAAATGCTATCATTCGCAATTCATTTTAGCGATAAAAACAGCTTGTTATTGCTTATGTTGGGCGTTACAGAATTTTTAAAAATCATTTTGTATATCCCATTGCTGCAGAAAGTATTTATGTGTGTATTAACTCCGGAACTCCTTATTTATATAGCTCACTATCTCGACTAAGTTGCCATGCTAGGCTGATTCTACAGAAAGGTTAAGTTGGACTTGATGCTGATCATTTCCCAGTAATGCTAACGTATACCAGTTATAATAATCCCGGCTAAGAAAAGTTTTCAAGCCATGTCCAACTTTAACTGCAGACCCCTATCCGTGGATTTGTCGTTTTGTCGCCGAAAATATATCACAATTATCGAACTTCTCGTTTTTTTACCACAAAAAATTGATGTACGATGCTTTGCACTTTGTCGAACAATCTCCTGTAAATCGCACTTTTTAATATATGATGTGGAAGTATGTTTAGTCATAAATTATCTTATCTTTAATACAGATATTGATATGATTTCTTGCCTTAATTACGAATATTTATTTATTGATTATTATGTTTTCGTAACTTTTTCCATTTTGTTCTTCGAGTCTGAATCTCTCCGCGCTGTGAAAGGTATGTACAATCATTTCCGTACAACTCCCGTCCTGTAAAGTTAGTTTTAAAGTAGCAAAAAGGGCATCCATCGATGTTCATTCTAACACATCACCAGCCCCTTGCACTAACCTGTTGGCCCCGATAGTTTTGACTTTCTAACACATCACCAGCCCCTTGCACTAACCTGTTGGCCCCGATAGTTTTGACTTGACTAGTAGCAATGGATTTTCTGAGCCTATTTAGGATCTGTTCGAGGTCATCACAAAGCTCCTTTATGGAAGTCTCTTAAAGCTTACCCATGACAAACTATAATGATGGCGTGGCCATTATGTGGTGGATAAAATTCTTCTACTTAATTCTTCTTCTTATTATGGATAGGAGTTATGGGTAGCCAGCCATTCAGACGAACGATGGAGATGGGATGGCCAATTCTAAAAGCAATAAAATTTGTATGAAATAGCAAGATTGTTTAACTGTTTTCAACTAGCTCACTTTCTCCTTCATATCCGATTCAACAAAGGTTCAATGAATAACTTCTGTGTTGAACAGAGGAACTGTTAAATTTCTAGCTTTTCGAAGTAGTTAACATTTCCCTGCGAATTTTATTGGACTTTGCTGTTTAATTTTACATTTTATCCTTAAAGAAAAAGATCAAGCCTCGGCAAAAAATAAAAAGGTTATTATATAAAAAAGTGAATTAATGGGAACTATGATAAGGCACTCAAACTTAAAAAAAATCCTTCAGCAGTACGTCATTTAAACAAAATTTCATGTCGGTTGCTTGAACTGCTGCTTGATGATTGCATCAAGTGTGATGATAAGTTACCCAACTTAACCGATCGCGAAAGAAGACTCCATTTAGAAGTTAGAACCGATCTGTTATATTAAAGGTTGAAATAAACTGAAAACAAAAATTAAAAGCAATGCTACTTGAATCAATCTCTCTTTGATTTAATGTACATTACAGGCGTTCATAAAATCTACCGGACAGAACAGTTTTATAAGAACAAGAGCCTAAAATTGGTCAGAAGTTAAGAACAAATTAAAAACAAGCTGAGACAAATTAAAACAAGCTGAGGCTAACATGGATTTTTCAACAGCGTTTTATCTCAAAACGAAGGTTTTTAGTCATGTGTGGCTGCTTTTTCGGTGAATATTTAAAATTTTCGTTAAATTAAGGTTGCCTTACTCACTTTTGTTGCCAACGAGGCCTGAACATTTCCTAGAGCGAAGAAGCTAGCAGACACATGCTTCTTACACCCTATTAATTTAAGAACAAATTAAGATAAATTCAGCCCCAGTTTTTCGAAAAAATTAAGAACAGTCGGCCTGAACTTAAATTTACATGCTCTTATAAGAGAAGTCTGTACTAGAGTTGCTCGAGTCGCTCATTATTATTATTTACAAAAAATCATGTTCTCGTTTTCAATAATTTGTGTGAGACCGAGATGTGTTTCCTTGGCAACAAAGTGAGCAGTAGTAATAGGCCTTTTTCACTAGAAAACATGGCAAGGATCTTGCATACAGTCCATTAAAATTGTAGAAATGAACATGGATACAAGCATTCCGAGTATCCAGAGCTTGCCACTCGATATTGTGAGTCCTAAGATTTGTCTTTATATCATAACAAAGTGAATGGTTCACCAGTTAATTAATAACATTGGAAAATTCGACACAAGTGAAATGGGCAGAGGCTGGCAATGTGTCGGGGATGGGACGGTTATTTATCTGTATAAATTTTTTCGGTCAGTAATTTGGTTGCATTTTGGTGGGCCATGCAGAGCTTAAACTGGTAAAATCTATCAAAGCTGAAATAATTTTTTTTAAAACACAAAAAATCAACTTTTACGTGATGAAATATATTATTTCTGTCTTTGGGCCTGCTGTAAGAATTTATTAAAATATACTGGCCACAATGGTTAGAAAAGTAAACAAAAATGTAGTATTCCAAATATTACAGGAATTTGGCGGATGATATCCCGTAAGGCTAGTTGATATATAATCTGGCGAATAAAAGCTGCTCTAGTTTTCTTTGACTTAGTGTTGTAAGTTCCTTTCAAGTCAATTTCACATTAAGGGTGATCAAGTTTAAGACAGTGTTTGTTAATACCTTAAGTTTGGTGCCAAAAAGTGGCTATGAACAATAAGCCAGCCCATTTAGTTAATTGTAAAGCAAAAATACTAAAAATGTCCTTCATGCCAGTGTCATCTTGCAGCATGTTTTGCCAGTCTACAGAGTATGGCAGTTTTCTGTGAGGTCTTTGTGTGCATACACTCTTTTTAATTTTAAGAATGCTATATATTTGTTCAAGACTTGATATTCTTAAGAATCTTCTTCAATCTTCAATCGTTAACTCCTAAAGGCTTTACAACCAATCTGGAGCATTTACTCAAGGAGCATTAAAACAAGGAAAATTGACTCAGGAGTAGGATTAATACCATTTCCACCCAGCGCTCCAGTCACTTCCTTTTAAGCTTAAAAATATTTGCAAGTTATTTGTATTTTTCAAATCTGATACCGTTTAAGAGGCTCTTGAATTATTACCATCTTTTTGAAAAACAGATAGGAGTATATCTTATATGTCAGTTTTGTGATTCTTTTATATGAACATTGCAAAACAGGCAACTGCTGAAAAATGAGACACAAATGAGACTGGTTGCTATAGGTATTATTAATTGCCTTGTACTGGAATTGTTTGCCTTCAATAAGCTTGAAATGTATTTTAACCTTTTTTGCTTTGGACTTAAATTTTTTAATGATAATCAGGAATGTGATTTTTAATCTGGGATTAAAAACATTTTTATTTACAATCATCTACATCTGCTATAGGAATTTTTCTTTTTCTGTAGCAGGCCTTGCACTAAGCAAAATGAAGGTGCTCCATAGAATGAGCTCCAAAAAAGTCAAGGCTCTCTATTTCACTTCCTATGTAAAATTGCTGTTTGCAAAAATTGTATTTTTCTCTTGATGGAAATGAGTCAAACGTTTTGTTTCCAAACAGAGCAGGCATTTAAAATATCATTCCGTTTTTAAATGATTATTGCACATTTGTTTTGCACATTTGTGTTCAGATTGTTTTGCACATTTGTGTTTTTGATGCACAAAAAGTAACTTAATTATTCAAAAAGGTATTCTTGTAAATGTGGCCTTAGAAGGAACCAGGTTTAAAATCTAGTCATCAGAAGATTTGTGGTATAAACACTTTTGTAAATCTTATAAACCACAATATTTCTGTCATTTGAGAAGATTGTTTAAGCTTTATTGACACCAATTTCAAAAAAGGAATTTGCTGCCAGGCAATATCGCTTTACATTTTCAGGTGCTCTTTAAATTGCTCCTCATGGCTCTTTTTAGGTGCACTTTAGGCACATATGTTCCATTGAGTGCCTTTCTTTGCAAGGCTTGCTGTAGATAAGAATTTTAAGTAAAAGAAAAAATTTACCAGCTAGATTGTCCCACAACTAGTGTTTTTATTGGTTACATAGCCCTTGCCCTCAGCACAATTTTGCAAAGCCATCTGTTGCTGGCTAATGAATACCTTTAAAAACATTTTTGCCTGTAAGTGACATTAAAAATGGAGAGGGGGAGGCATAAAGTCTTTCTGTTGAATGAAGTTATTCCCCAGTGACAGCCAGTCAATGTATTCATCTAATGCATAAAGTATTCAGGTGAAATTCTCAATTTATTTACGAAGCTATGATTTGTGTCTGTGTTTGATATTTATACATTATTTGATTGTATACCTTCCCAAAGAAGTCAAAGGAATTTCCTTTTTGGAATTTCAATATTTTATAAATAAAAATCCCATGTTACTGAAAATTTGTCCCCTAGAGTTTCCACTAAAGCTTAATGTACCATATATTAAGGCTTTTAATTTTCTATCAATTATGTTTGTCTGATATTATTCCATATCAACAAAAGCTATCGAAAGCAAGGTGCATGTCAGACAAAAATGTCTTGCATGGGGCTTTTTTCCATTCAGGGCACAATACCAGCTGTCTGATAATTTATGTGACTGTGAGCTCAATACTAATATCTCTAGACATTTTGTGTTGTTGATTTGGATAAACTATGGTTGCAGCCCAGTCCATAAGCTCCTTTTAAAAACTGTAATTTAGAAAAAAAATAGCATACAAATCATGCAATTCAATTCAATTCAATTTCATTGGCAAATATACCAAAATATATTTCAATACAGAATAAAAATGATTAACATGACATTACAATAGTTATCCACACATACAATCTAATAAATTAACTTAAACATGGAACATACAAGTACCTTTTGTGGAATAATTTTCTTTTAGCAAGTTAGCCAAACTTTTGAAAAGGCTTCAGAATTCTTTTGGGCCTTTTCTTTGTGTCATATTTAAACTGCATGATTAAAAGAATGAAAGACAAAAACAACATTTCTAAGTAACTGCATCAATATTTTTCAGCTCAATTTTCACAAACAGTTTACAGCAGATCTTGAACATTTTGGCCTGAAAGACAGTGATTCAGATAATGAAGGTATGTCTTCTAAATTGCTGGTTTCTTTTTCATATTTTCAGCAAAGTTTGTTTCTAGAGTTTTAGGAATTTAAGCAGAAAAGTATGATATGAACTATGTAGCTTAAATTTACCAGAAAGATTTAGCAAATTTTTTGCTCAATTTTCTTTTGATTGGTCATATGAATATTATTTTGACAAGTTTAATCCTAGTCTTAACAATTGAATATATAAATTTTGATATTATAAAGTTATAATATGATTGGTACTATATAATATATAGATTAAATATATAAGGTTCTAGACAGAAAGATCTATAAATTAAGTGTGCATTTTTATATCTTTTGTACTTTGATACATTTTGCAGCATTCTTCATTTAATGTCTTTATGTTATTGCATATAGATTGTGCTGGTTAAATGTTTTATTTCTTTAAATGATTTTTTAGAATCAACTGATATCCCAGAAGAAGAAAGACCAGTCACTCCAATTGAGGTATGCTGGAAAAATTGATAATTTAAGAGTTTTGAATTTTCTCATAGCCTGAAATAGAGTGCATACCACAAACTAATAGAAGTAGAGTGCATGCGGCTGATGAAAGACGTTTTTCAGAAACTTTATGCATTCAATTGAACATCTAAATTGCAAAGTTTATCTCAATAAATAGAAAATTGTGTTGATGTGCCGTTTTCATTAGCCTCTCATTTCAAAAGTTAAATGAAATTAATTTTCCAAACTTAGTGTATCTGTTACATTAATTACTTTCAGTAACTGCTTACTAGCAGAAAAAATCACATTCCAGGTACCTTATGTTTAAATTCTTGTGAGCTAAAAAGCCTTACTGCAAAAACCTTTTTATTTGCTAAATTTAAAGTCAGAATTTCATGGGTTGTTCCTTTTGGCTCAAACTGCTAGTGAAAAATCTCCTTCGCATCTTTGGTTTTTTTGTTACTTTGTAACAGAGAATAAAGATTGTTAAAAGTTGTTTTTCTTGTAATACCGTTTACATTTATCAACACCCTATTTCACGGTCGTTTAGTAGAATCAGTAAATGGTATCTGTTTTGGCTACAATGTCTAGATATTCTTGTAATAATATTTCCATTCTCTTGTTCAAAGGTGGCGATAAAAAGATCGCCAAAAACAATCCAAGAACTAAAAGAGTTGATTCACAAACGACTGCATATCCAAGATGGCATTCCTTCTGTTAAAAGCCAAGACCAGATGGAGTTGGTAAGAAAAAAGTTTGCTGATTAATATTTTTTTGACATCGCCCATTTTCCACCTAAATGCGAGGTTTCCTCTAAATAAATAATGTTCTCTCTTAGGCTGCTACACTCATGTCCGAAACAAGTGCAATCTGGCCAGATATGCGACATCAAGCTCCTGACCCTTTTCTGGTAAAGATGCCAATTACTTTTAATGCATCAGATTTTTGATGAAATGTTTATCTTTAATGCAATAAATTGATTTATTTTAACTTTGAGTCAAGTTATTTATTGAGATTATTCGTTTTTGTAGAGTGCTGCAGATAATAAAGAATTGGAAAGGTAAGAGCTACTCTGTTGCGTCGTTTTTCGATTCACTTTATGATGCAGTTGTGAATTTAAGAACTTCAGTACTATGATTCTATTTTTTCTCTCTGTAATGGAAAATATGTTACTGTATCTAGCCGTTGTCAACGATTGATAATTAAGGTGCAAACCCTACAATCTGAAACAGGTGAACATAGGTGTTTGTAACACCCTTCAATTTCTCATTTTTTAGAAGAGTTGCAATTGAAGTCGTTAAGACCGTGGAAAATCTCTTCACTACATACATAAAAAAGTTGCAAGGTATGTTACACTAATTCAAAGTTTCAGGAATTGTTGTCTTTATTTGATTTATCTACTGTTTTTCCTTGTTAATTTTATCATGAAAAAACGAAATAAATTTATGCACAATCGTAAGCCTAAAAGCCTTTTTATAGAACGTTTTCACTTGATGTTTAGTTAGTGTTTGATAGTGAAATGTTTGTCTTGTTGCGTTGGTTGGCAATACTTGCAATCCTTTCAAATAAGTTGCAGCTCTTACTTCTGAAGAATTTCAATATAAAATGGAGTGAAGCCTTGTCACGTTTTCTGAGCCCCTACCAAAATCGGCTAGTTCACAGCAACAACTTCGATTTTGTTCTAAAAAATTTGCCAGACAGAGGGAAATCGTTGACTCAAAGATTTGTTACCCGTCCTGAAATTTTCCTTACTGTTTTGGGCATTGTGGCCTCCCTCAAGAAAATCATTTACGATCAAACATCTTGATTTAAATTATGTAGCTGTGACAGGCTAAAGTTGAAGTTGGGATGATTTGAAGATTTTTTGAGAAATTGAAAAATAGCTGAATTTCTAAAAATAATTTTTATGCAAATGGCGTTTCTACGAACAGAAGTTCTTTTGAACTTCATACAATTTAGTGAAGGTGTTAGAGACAGTATTTCAGATCTACATGAAAATAATTTTTATTCAGGTGACCACAGGTAGATTGCTATAAGATATAATTATTATTCAATTTGCCAATCAAACATTGACCATTAAAATTCTTTCCTTTAGAAGTCAACTTGAAGGGAGTATTCAGCTCATCCTCAAACGTCAGCCGACTAAAGACTCAGCTCTCATTTGAAGCCAATAAAAGGTGATTCTCCAATTTCCGTCCTTATAATTTTTCATATTGCCTTAAAGACATTTTTATTAAAACATGTATTTTGCTTTATTTTATTGGATTAAACACAAAGGCATCTCTTATTACTTCCTCCCTACCTAAAGAAGTGTTTTACTCAACAGCGTTTTCAATTTTGCCAATCTAATGTCTACCTTTCTATTTTTTAAGTTTTTTCCTTGGAGCAGTCAATGTGCATTTTACCACTATTGTGTTTTTAATTCATCTTTATCAGCGCTTTACACCATTCACTCAATGTTTACATTATTCATTTTTAAAATCTAAAGGTCGTTTTGGATATCATAGTTAAAAGAATAAGTTAACCTAACATTCTGCGAAATCTGCAAGTCTAGCGGATGCTTGTGAGAAGTCTGACCTTTGTCAAAATTTGTTCGATCTTTTGACTTCAGAAAACTCATACATACTGTTATATCATAGATTCTGATTTGTTGCCTGTAGTATTTTAAGTGCAAGCCATTCTTTTTCGACAATAAAATACAAATTCATTCCCCTAGTTTTCAAAATTCACCCAAAACTTTATTCATCCATGCTTCTGCTCTCACTTAGTTTTTTTACCAATAAGGATGAAGTTAAAATCGAAGTTCTCCATTAGTCTCTATGTTATCATTTTCTTTGCTATTTTCAGGAAGTTTTTATCGCAACAATGTCTCTTTTGATTTGCCGATACTATGTATAGTATCGATCTTCTTACTCTTTATTTCTTCTGAATATGTTACTAGGCCAGTTTCATTCTTTCCTGAATAATCAGTTAAACAATTTAATGTAGAATGCATCTTTATTCTGAGACTGCCTCTATTCGAATCTGTGTTTGTTTTGCCCTAGCTTGAACATTCTGAACGTTAGAAGAAAGCTTGCCACTGCATTAAGAAACCCAGAATCAAATGAGGATGTGTTATCAGAGGATTCGTTTGTCATCAAAGTCAGAGAAAAGCTTTTGGAAAGGAAGAAGGTTTGATAGTCGTTTTCACATTTCTGTAAACCTTATATTACTAAATTACTTCGATATTATATTACTTAATTACATAATTGGAAGCTTGCAATCAACAAGTTTGCTTGAATATAACATTTTAGATAATCAAGTTTTTTGATTTTATGCCAATGTTGACATTCATCTGAGCCAACTGCCAAAGCCTAAGTTTTTTTGTGATGATGGAGTAGAAATTACAAATTCACTTGTGCTAGCCACAGGCAATTCACGTACAGATCTGATAGCCACATACAATCTTCAATATTTAATAATCAGTGTTATCAAATTATTTTTTTTAGATCCCCTAAATCCTTTTTAATTATGGAATGAAATTTGAAAAACTCAACATCTACTTTTCAATCAGCTTTCTTCTCTAATGTGTATCAAACAAATTTTTCTGCACATCTAATAGTTAAAAAAACTTGTTTAGTCTTTTCTTTTTTAGAAGTGAACAAGTATATCTTGTTATAGAGTAAAGAAGCATTTTTCGATGAATTAAACAATCTTATTGGATGTGAAAAGAGATTTATAATGAAGAAAAAACTTAACAACAATAAATACGGATGTCGTTTAACATGGTCATATTCGAAAAATCGTTAGAAATTTTCTAAAAACGCCAAGATTTTTAACGTGAGCAATTTTTGGCGGTACAAAATTTGAAAATTGCTTTTGAAAAAAACAAACATTTTACAAATAATAGACTGACACTCGTCAAAGTATAAAACGTCAGAATTAAGGTCTAAAAGAACAAGATTGAAAATGTATATCAATTGGCAAAGGAAGGTTGTCTTTTCATCTAGCTGTTTTGGAATCAATCTACATACAAACGAAGCTACACCCTAGGACTCCAGGGGTGATTTTTCTATAGGCATGCGGTAATGATTGGACATCTATAACGGTCACGTGCTTGCTTTTTTCTGATTGGCCTATTTTGATCCACAACTGGGTATATATTTTTCATCGTGTTTTTTCGGACCCTTATCCTGACGTTTTATATTTTGAGGAGTGTCAGACAAAAATGCTTTTAGTATGTTGTAAAATGTTTACATTTTCATAGTCATTTTCAGACTATAAATATGAAAAAGAATGTCTTAAAGTGATTTTGACACCAATGTTTCGTTTTGTATTAGACCGAGCTTTGACACTATGCTGTAGCTGGCATTTAAAGTTATAACAGGCGTATCGTTCTCGATAGGTCAGCAGAAATCTAAGAGCTGTAGCCAGCGTTCCTCACACTTGCATTGAATGACACTTTTGGGATAAGAAGCATTATCATTATTTTTGCGATTACATTATCCATAACCCATCTAGTTGTGTAGAGCTTGATATTTCAGAAGATCTTGCCTGTTGTGTAGTTGAGTGGGAAAAGGAATAACTTTTGAGCAGCAAAATATTCAGTTTATTTGTACTTCTAGGAAACTTTTTTAGGGCATGACAGTTTAAAAAAACGTCTTGAGATGTTGCGATTTTGAATTTCAACCAAATCCTTGTCATATGAAAAAAGGGAACTTTTCCAATGATTTTTTCAATCTTTTACTCGTTACTATAAAACATTAATTAGTTCATGTTGATTTTAAAAAGCATAGTGCAATTGTAAACAAAGTTATTACTTATTTGGTGTTTAACAAACATGTTCATAACCTTTTAAATCGTTTGTCAATATTCCATTTCATTTCTATACTGTGTAATAAGCGTATTCAATTTTGGGGAATGTCTCTTATTATCTTCAATTTAATAAAGGTTTATTTCAGATCAATGTCCTTATCAGAAATTTGGGAAAGGCCTTGTTTCTTTCAAATCTCTATATCAAATGGGGAGCTGGGCAAGGCGTCCCCATGAAAAATAGATGAAAAAATCTTAACTATTTTTCAATCTTATTGAAGCACCGATCTTATCTAATTATTATTCAAAGGGTGTAATGACTTTATGTCTGGAAGATGCTTCAAATGTGAAAAGTAGTTGATCTTATATATTTGATAGCAACGTAATCTGCCCCTGAGAGACAGCCAATGGAGATAATGAAAACAATTATGTCTCTGCAGGAGCAGCCCACGGGACGAATTGCGCGAAAATTGCAGATCACAAGAATGCACGCAGAAGAACTGTACAGGCAACTGGAAATCAAGGATGTAAGTTGAAATTCAGTGAATCTGCTAATCTTAAAGTTGATTTTTCAGTTGGCCGTCCTTGGCCGAGACTCAACCACCTGGATCTTTGGAAAGCAGCATGTATGTTGTGACTTTTATGCAGCATTTATAGTGTATCATCTAATATCAATACTTTGTATTTGTAGTATGAGGTACGTGGTTTGTAACACCTCCAAGGTAGTTAAACCATATTTAGCTTGTACTGCTGTTGGCTGTCCTTGCGAAGTCTTAACCTTAGTATAAATGATCTGCAAATTATACCAGGCTTCATGGAGACCTTATGGAAACACTAAGCAGTTGTCTGATGCTTTATTTTTACAATATTGTACTTTATTTCTTCATGTGCTATTTCCTGTTATGTTGTATCTTTTTGCATTCAATTTGCATTTATAAGTTCTCTTGCATTCTACATTTCTTACATTTGTAAACGCACATTTCGAAATATTGGCTTTATTTCTAGGGTGCGTGGATTCTTCTCAATCCAAAATCTTTTAGCTATTTACAAATGTTGAATTCACCATTCTTTGGTGTACTACTCAGTATTGCTCCTAAATCTTTTATATTTCTTCTCGACAAAGTCTAGCCAGTAGCCAATTGCCGCATCAACAACTTTATCCTTACAAAATCTCTGCAGCTTCTTTCACTTCGGTCATGTGCTGCTAACATATCCATCTTTTACAATTAATTTGATTTATATTGCTCCCATAAGATCAGAGATTTGTTCCTTTTTCCGTCACAAACACCAACAACTTTCCCTGTGCTTATAATAATTTCAAAGCTCCTCACCAAATCCATGAATCTTGTTTCCACAACTCATCTTTTCTTTCCAGAGCTTGTAAACTTTGAAGCACATAACCCTTTTTTTTGCTTTCCAGACCTTTATAAGCTGTCTCCTTTTTATAAAGCTTTATAAAGTTCCCTGAAAAGTAGCTCAAACATAGTATCTTTAGCTACATGATTTGAAGCAAATCATCCACATAGAAACCAATTTCCTGACCAACTATCTTGCAATTTATAGTTGAATGAAAAGATGCCAAGCATAGACGTTTCAAAATTTCTCGACACTGGATCACCTTTCGTTGGACTTAGCATGCCAAAGCCTGCGACCAGCAAATTAACACAAACACGTAATTATATTATATTGAATATGCTTTTTTTGTTATCTTTGTCAATGTCAGATGTTTATCGTGAGGTAAGATATTGCTTGACGATAAATCGAAAAAGCATTCGACGACAAAACAGGAATTTTGCAGGCAAACTTATTGCTGAATAAACTATTGAGAGTTTGTGCTTCATTTATATAGATGATATTTTATAAACATTTTTTAATGTATGTCAGTACTGTTGTCGTAAGCTTTTGCTGCAAATTGGTGGAATGCTGCCTGTGCAACATTGTTTCTGTTCAGTATCTTTATACCTTTAAAGTTGGACGGTTCTAACCCGCCTGTAGCATGCTTCTTGCACATGAATGAACTATATATGCATAAGAAATAGTTTTTGAAAACCTTTTTATGGATGTTGATTTTGCTACTTATCTTTGGAGCTATATCCTCTTGATTTTAAATTTTGGTTTTATTTGTGTTTTATTTAGCTTTATTTCTGTAGAAATATAAAATCCAAAATGAAGCATGCATTAAATTTTGTAACGATATATTTTTGAAAATGAATTTAAAAACAGGCTCAGGAGTTAAGGGATCCATATCACATCCAATCTGTAGGTTTGGAACGCCAAGGAAATTAATCTATACATATCAAATTATTTCTAGTATTTTCCATATCGTATTTCATAACCAGGAACCAAACACCTTATTGGAATTTTAAAAGAAGTCAGGAGTGAAATAACTAAGTTTTAGCTTAAAGGATATTAACGAAAGACAGTCTTCGAAACTGGAGTTATAAAAAATACAGCCATGCATGGTAGATTTGGAAGGTGGATTTAAAACTGGTGGTAAATGGGGCTGTTTACACGTACAACAGAAGACTTCTGATATAATGGATGCTGTATCATAATGCACGTTATTTAGCACAACATCTCTGATAATCATCATTTGACAAATTTGTTTCTCGCTGCAAATTATTCACTCTCATTTATACTTCCCAGCTGTCACTCCAAATGATGGAAATGATGAAGATGTTGCGATTGAAAATAAACAAAAGGAGTAAGTCTCAATTCAACAATTCGTTTTCTCATTAATAATCAAGATTTCTGCAGCCCTCTTATTTATTCATGAAATAATTCTATGACTTAAAAATTCCGGGCTGACGTCTGTATCGTTAATGTTATTTTTAAAAGTAAAGTAATGAGGAGATTTTAAGATATGAAGAAAATTAGTTGCTGATTTTGCTACTGCAATTAGGAAAGATTAGAATTCGGTCAATTCACTTATTTTCTAAGCGTTTTGCAAGCCTCAAATGATGAAAAATGCAAAGAAAACATGGATGGCTAACCGGCTACGGACAAACCTAAAGGTTCAGTTAATTAGGATTTTTAGGAGATCTTAATAATACAGAAACTGTTAATTGAAGAAGTGATTTACTTATCTTTTAACGTTTTACGAACCGCAACTGCTTGATTTTGAAATGTTACAGCGTCGAAGCCCTAATCGTGTTAGATTTAGGATTTCGGAAAGAATACACTGGTTTCACATTAGTCTCAGTTTCGCTGAAAACCAAGTAAGTTTAACCCAGATACGATATGAATTTTGCGAAATTAAATAGAATCCGGGAGATAAGGATTCCTAATCCGGTTTTGTGAATCATTTATTCTACGCGGTGGCTTGCTACTATCAATGACACGCCCTTTTATTTGTAGTAATCGCAATAATTGAGAAGGGTAGCAGGGCCTTGAGAAATGGCTTGTTTTGGGAATTTAGGGAATTAATGATGAGTGACTCTTCAAAGCTGTGGTAAAATTTTGGCTATTACGTTTCTGTGCATCATAATCTTATTTTATTGGTTTTTTCTAGCAGGCTTTTAGAAGAGGATGGAAAATTACAGTTTAGACTACAGGTGAATTTTTTATCCCTGATTTCGAATATTGACACATTGTCGAGTCAGATACCCAATGCCAGACTTTGATTTAAAAACCGAAAAAGCCATGGTCTGAGACAGCCTCTCTTTCATGCAGCTGTTAAGATTGCCAAAGATATGTTTAAAGAATGGTCTAGCATTACTATTTGCTGTCGATGAAAACACATTTGAATGTTAAAAGAACTTAGTTACAACAGAAATTCAATTAGTGAACATTTCCCAACAAATCTCCTAATACCTAGTAAAGCGCTGTACCTCAAAGCTCTTTTAACACGGTTCAAGCTTTGTCGACATGGTGGTCCCTAGATTCTTTATATAGACTTTCAAGTTACAGCAAATTATTTGGATGAATAGAAAAAAATGGTTTGCAATATCTAGAATAAAGACTTATAAACGCTGTTGAAACCTTGGATGGGCACAGATAAATTAGAATGATAAATCATTTTTGACCTAAAGAGTATAATATTCTTTGATAAATAAAAAATGAAACCTTACGAGAACTGAGAATCGTGTACATGTTAATTGATCAATCAAACAATATGATTTTATAAAAGGGCCAATTGAATTACTAACTCAAAATTTACTAATTTATACTTAAAATCTGTGAATAAATGCTTTTGATCTTTCAACACGTGTAAGTAATTTCAAGGTATGTTGTAATTTCAATGTGACCCTTATGTAATTTCAATGTGTCCACAAAACACTTATGTAACTCACCATACCATGCTTAATTTACTTTTCTTTGATGATTTCGTTCATAAAGTTAGAACCGAGAAGGGAATATGTTTTTTCGACAAGCCATGTGCAAAACAAAGAAAATCTAATTCTAAACAAATGCCCTTCAGCGCTCGGTGTGACGTTCGGAGCTGGGGGTGTCAGCCAGATGACGATTGTTATCAATTTAAACAAAGAACGTTGAATCTACTGGGCTTTAAAATAATTTTCTTCCAAATATTAAAACGTTCTTTATTTTTATTACCACAAGGTAGCCTGATAAGATAGCTGCAACTCTGTAAAACCCACAGCATTCTTTTCATTTCCTTTGCAACTATGAATTTAATTCATATTCTTTAACTGGAAAATCACTTTGATCGATAGATTCTGACACAGCTAATCTCAAGTAAGAAATCAATTGAGCTTTCAATTAAGTTTAGTTTCTATATTTTCAGCACAAAGATAACTTTCAATAAATTAGAATAAAATAATCTAAATTTAAGTCTCAGTGTGTTTCAAAGTCATCAGCGTAATTGTGGTATCTTTGTCTGTTGGGTTATTAAATATCTTTCAACGCCTTTGGTTAAACCAGAAAAGATATTAATTTTATGTAGTAGTTCAATATAAATCAAAGCTCCTTAATAAGCGTTTCTATATTACTTTTTCATTCTACTTTTTGTTTGCCTGCTTAAGGATTAGCGCACTTTAATACTTACTATAAATACTGCTACCCTTTTCAAGGCTTAGGTCTGTCTTTTTGCACCCAAAGACTACTGTCCGAGGAAAGCTTTTGTTTCTAAGTTGACTGCTTCCGAAACTACTTTGTAGGATTATTAATCGTTTGTTTTCTGGTGTTAGAAGTTTAAAAGTTATTAACAGGAAGTGAGTGCTTTTTGTCTTCTGGTCTTAAATGGTTATTGCTTTGATAATGTGCTGGAGATTCTTCGCTGGAGATTTTTTATCCCAGGAGGCAGTACATTTTCTAGATAATGGCATCGAATTAAGTGAACGTGCCAATGAAACGCAAACTGTTATGCCATAAATGAATGAATAAAAACCTCTTCAAGTCAACGAGCAAAACCAACAGGAATATAGAAAGCCACTAGACTACCCTCATCATATATGATTTGTTTTTTATTTCGAGCTCATCGTTTAGTGTCTTCTTGTAGTAACTTTACAATTTCATCGTTTAATATATTTTTGATATGCCTTTATCGTGTCAGATTTTGTTAAAGCTTGAATTTGTACTCCGCTTTACCAAGGATCAAAAACACATGTTTCTAGTTCATAAGAAAATGATTTTTTCAATTCGCAAATTTTGTTGATGTCAACACGACTCTGTTCATGATCACATTAACTATGATATTTTAGCTTTTAACTAGCCAGGCAAGTTTCATTATGCTAGCCGTCAGAACCTTTCCCATGTACCAATATCACCAGATGTATCTATGTGTCTATTAATCAGCACCAACTACGTGTTAGTTTGTGAGGGCTCAAGCAGATGTTTGTTATTAGTTCTCCAACTGACAACTGTAGCAGTTATAATTGTCTTGATAAATGTTCTCAAAATCTGTTTCAACGCAAATTCTGGTATAGCTAGGTTTACCTCAGGCTTCCTATACTTTGTTTAATAATTTAGACCTTAGCTGTTGCTTTTTCATTTTTGTAGAAGTCACATTCACTTCAAATGCCAGATACAACGGCACTGTTCTTGGAAGAGCTGGAGCTGACTGAAAAAGGTCTCATATTATATTTTCAAGCTAATTTTGAGTTTGATTCGTATGCTATTCTAGTGCGTATCAATGTTTGCGGTGAAGTTCTTGTTTTGAATTTCTACACACGGTTTATAACGCCATGCCATTGTTGTGAAAAATAAGCTCACAAGCTCTTTTTTCCATCGATTTCTGTTGTTATCAGTTAGAATTGTTCAGTCAATAGTTCGTGATGTGATTCTAATCCTTAATCAGAAGTTTTGCTTACAATGTGCTTTGAATGGTTGCACTCATATTCGCTTTTAAAGTACGCTTTTTTAAGTGCTACCGGGTTATTATATTTCCCCATTTTGATTGGCACTCTTTTCGATATTTTCTATCCCCTAAAGTATTCCTACCGGTTTATTCGCCATTTCGGCTCAGTCCTTAGCTACGATTAATACTTTGAATTCTTTCGGTTCTTTCAACTACGGGTATTTGAACCCAGCTGTTTACGACTTCAGCTACAGAATTTTGTGTCTGATTGATCGTTCAACTGTCAGTTCTGTTTCCGTCTTACATCTTGAATGACCTTTTCATATTACTAATTTTTTGCCAGGTATTTGTCATGTTTTTATTGTCAAGGTCATTTCAAAAGCTAATTGTTAATTCGCCCTTATGTCTCAATTCTGACTTTCTTTGTCTTGAATAATCTGCTTCTTATTTTATTGTTGTTTGGAAATTTGCTCGATCTGATCCTTATTTTTTTCTCAGCTTCAAGTTTCTAGTTTCTTACATATTAACAAAAGTAATTTTATTTTATCCAGATTTGAAACCTGAAAGAAAAAGAAGCATAGAGCGCCTTCCAGTGAGTTTCTTTCATCTATTCTTAATAATCTGCAAGAAAATTAAAATACCGGACCTGTCTTTTGACAGTGCTACCCAATATTGTATTTCCTGCATTGCTAGATCATAGTTAGTAGGTGGAAGAAACGGGCAGTATTGGAACTTGAGAATATGACTGTCTTTCTACTTAAACAATAGAAGATACTTCAGTAACGGTTTTATGCAATGGATTTCTACGCGTTTCTCTGACTAGTTGTCCACTTTAATTTTAAGTGTGCCAGGTCTTTAGTGTACTCTGAAACTTAGTTTAAATGTATTTTTTCTCCACTTAAGGGCCTGCCTTGAATTCAAACTTTGGTGCTCCATATAAAGATTAAACCTATTTATTGCTTCTAAATGCAATGTCTTCACAATGCACCCGAGCCTCACTCATCCATTGACTGTTATGATGTTGGGTTTTATCGTTTTCAAGGTTACAAGTATGCGAATAGATGGCATTCAAGAAAAAGAGAAGGCACTGTAAGTAAACAGTAGAGTTAAACCTGTTCCTTTACCACAAGTATAATTCACAGGATCTAGATTTTTTATTCTGAAGCTCATTTCATTATTTAGATAAATATATTTATATTGGTAGTTTTTGTGATAGTGTTCTTTCAAAAACTTTATATATCTTTGAGAAAATCAAGAAACAACGATTGATTTTAATAGCAAATACGAATCCTGAATACCTTAAAAAATTGTCATTTGCTGACATTGCTGATGACCCTAATCCGAGTTTCGTACATTAAAGCAACATTTTCAAAAAGGCAACCGTCAGGTTTAGCAATTATGAAAGCACCATTAATGACTGCATGTGTCGCAATGTGTTTTATTTTGCACTCTTTTGGAAGCCCTGGGAACGCTGTTACGGCATCCAAATCTGAAGCTAACTACAACCAAGAAAATTTTTATTGTTTTGCAACGCTTGTCTTTTTGTAAGCCTACGATTGTTGTTCAAGGTATGCAAAATCACCAAGAGAAGATCTGGAAAACTTATTTCAGAGAGAAATACTCAGTAGAAAGGTAAGAAATTTAATGACTTAAGTTGGTAAACGATTTCCTTGTAAATTGGCCAATGGAACATAACATAATCAATTATTACATCTGTTGTTTGTATTTTATCATATATTTGCTATTCTGCTGAAACATCTTAGTGTGTTTTCTATAAATTTATCATACATGCATAATTTTGGCTTGCAATTCTTATGAATCAGGAATCGTCAAACCGGTCCGCCAAGAGCTTTTCTAGAACCTTTGGAAAAATAAAGATGGTCCCTTTAAAGGCGTCATTAAAACAGTGAATTTTATTATTGCTGTTATTGTTTGGAGCTTTATTATAACTTTTTCGAACCCTTTTAAGCTCAGGGGGCTAAGGCAGTCGGCCCACCTGCCCCCCCCCATATCCGTGGGCCTGTGAACAAATTTATCGACCAATTCTTGCCAAACTGACAGCTTCTACTTTTACCTACAATTTACTGTTTGAATGGAAAAAATTGCATCAAGTTTCTCTTCCTTCACAGACTGGCTTATGTGTCATTTAAATGTCATTAAGTGGACAAATTAAATGTCAAAGTATTAAATGTCATAGCTCTCCAGACTGTAACAAGGCCCGTCCTTAGATTTACTAAACTTAGATTTAGAGTTACTTTGAATTATAAGAACAATATTTTACTATGCAATTAGCCTTATAGTTAAGGGTTTTCGCTTCTAGGTTGCTGATGGTTTTGAAACGGACGTTCTCGAAGACATGCCACCGTTGCTACAGGTGAACGTTTTTGCATTTCGCTTATTGTTGGGTTCAATCTAATCTTCAATCTAACCAGCTATATTTGTTTCTTTAAAGGGCAAACGTTTTTTCTTGTAAGTGGTTTGTTATCCATGGCACTAGTGTATAAAGATGTGTAATATAACTGAAGTAAACTTTTTGCTAAAAAGGCAATTAGTTGGTAATTGCTTTTCAAAAAGTAAATACCCACAGAAAAGGGGTGCTCAATGCTGCAGAACCAATAATAATGATAAAATTCCTGAGTTAAGGAAATATTTATTAAATGATTTTTTGGTTTATGTCTATCAAGTGGTTATTGAATTGTGCAATTCTCGTTATTTCGAGTCACCACAGTCTTAACACTTTGTAAACCTTAATAAACTGATTCTGCATTTCGTAGTTTTAACAAATTTACATCGCAGGACTAAAAGTATTTGATCCAAAACTTCTCTTCAACTAACAATTAGTTCGGATATTCTTATTTAATTTGCATTTCTAGATGCCAGAAGGCTTGAATTATCTATATCAGCTACTAACCCCGGATCACAGCGAATGATTTACAAAAGAGCTTTTCCAATACTTTTCTCCCGAACTTTTCTTGCGTTTTAATCGATTTCCTAGTCAAAACCCATTCTCCCGTATTTGATAATTATTAAAGCAGACTGTATTCTTGCTACTAATGTGATGATTTTCAGAATTTCTTTCTTCGAAGTAGTGAGGGCGTTAGTTTACCAGTATTCTGTCACTAATGTAAATTGCCCAAATGTTGAAAAGTTTGTTATGATTTTGTCAAAATATATTTGGTGTTTCAAATAATCCATATTTCCTTCTTTGATTCTTATTTAATAGATCATTGTGGATATCTATGCCGATTGATTCCTAATTTTCTGAAACCAAAAACTCACATTGACACCAAAGGTTAATTTGCAATAATCATTTTCAATGTTGAAATGGTTCTTTATCAGCACATTCATTGACATTCAATGCGTTGACACTAAAGTTGCAAAGCATGTGGATGCATTGAAGTAGACTGTTACAGCGGAGTTGTTCGGTTCTATCCTTCAGATTTTTTGAAAGAGGCCGTGAAGCTTCTGTATGCATTTTCTGTATGCTGAGCAAGATTAACACTCGAAAGAAGATTATAATATAGGCCGTTATTTATCTTGTAGGCTTTGCCAGTCAGTCGAAAAGGCAAACGAAATCTGAAAAAGGACGTAAAGGAAGAGGAACTGGATACGAGTGAAACAGAGTCAGTGGCATCAACTATATCTACATTGAAAGCTATCAATACTGGATACAGAGGAGAGGAAAGGTAATTTGAGCACTGCATTGTCTGCAAATTAGAGCTGCATAGATGCAGTTTCATCTTCATCGACTGTAACGGAACTCACAAAAGAATGTGAAATCTCCTGGAACTCGGGTTGCAATCTTAGTAACTAAGTCTCTTAATGGATGCTTAGACTAAGAATGGTGACTTGATCTAAGAATAATGAGCCAATCTAAGAACGTTGGCTCAATCTAAGATGAGAAATTCAACTCTAGAAAATTATGTCGATTTAAGAATAAAGACTCGTTTTAAGAATAGTGATTTACACTAAAAGATCTAAGAAAATAATCTCATTTTTCGACTCAGTACAAAAAGATTGACGTAATCTAAGAGAAGTAACTCAATTTAAGTGACTCATAAAGTGACTCAGACTGAGAACAGTAACTCAGACTAAGAAAAATGACTCAATCTAAGGACAGTGACTTAGACTTAGAAAAGAGACTACATCTAAAAACAAAGACTTGAACTGAAAAAGTAGACTCAATCTAAGAACAGCGAGTGAGACTAAGAAAAGTAAACCAAGCCAAGAACAATGATTCAGCCTAAGAATTTTGATTTGATCTAAAAACAGTAAGTCATTTGACTTGATTAACGTATAATGAGTCATTCTAAAAATGATGGCTCAACTGAGACTAGTTACTTCATCTAAAAGTAGTAACTTAATCTGCGATCTCTCTCATATTTGATCTCCTTTGTCGGTAAAAATCTAATTTCATCAGCGAGGATTAGTGCTTGCTCAAACTTTACGAGCTTCAAGGTTGCATGACAAGGTTAATAGAAGATTGACTTTATTAACAATATGCTCTGAAGAACAAAAATATTTTATAAATTAATGTGAATGAAGATGTTTGCAATTAATTCAACTAGATTCAGTCTACTGTGGAAACTTTATAATAGTATTCAGTGTTGTCTCTGGAATTTATTTTGTTGATGTAAGCAGTATTAACTTTTGCATATATTTTCAATTTGATTAATAGAAAATAATTGAAAATTTATTAAGAATTGATGTGTTATAAGTATGTTTTCATTTTTTTAATGGCTAAAAATTATTTGCTATAGGCATCTAAGGCTAGGCATTATCCTGTTTTAGCAACAGAAATCGGATCAATGCAAGTAAATCAGTTGTTTTGGAGTAAACTTTGAAATACCTGTAGAATTCGATCTAAATGTTCATTTGAAGCTAATCATGTCGATTAGTTGTTTTAACAGTAAATTAAAAAATGCTTGCATCATTTGCTGGTCAAAAAGCAGGACTTTTGTTAAAAGGAATCAATTTAAAATCGATAAAGTCGACCAATTGCATAAAAATAGCCATATAAAGAACGTCAGAAATGTTTACCAGTTTCAGGCAGTTGTCTTCTTGAGAAAGGAACTTTTAGAAACCCTCCCAGATGGTGCAGCAATGAGAACTAGGTACAAATGTCTGTAAACATGTGTTCCTTCATTGCTTTGAACTTGAAATTTAATTTTTATGCGAAAAATTGGATCTTAGAGGAATCATTAAATACTTTTTCATTTAGGATCAGTGAATTGCCACCTCAACCGGCTGTGGTGTCGAAGAGCTTCAACAAGAAGGTGAGAATAGTCTGGCCAGAAATGCCTGCATTTCCTGTCTCGTCTTTGGTTTGCTATGAATAAGAGTAATTTTAGTTACTTTAATTGGGAACTATACCTGATATAAGTTTTTCTGCTCTTTAAGTTTGTGAAAGTTCTTGCAAATCGGTATTAAATAGGGTTTGAGAATGATTTTCTACTTAAAGTCATAAACATGGAACTCTCTGAGAAGATAGAAGGAGTACTTTGGTCTTTCCATCGCAGATCTGAGGATATCTAAAAGACAAACCATCTATGAATCATTGTTTTAAGTTTGTCCCAGTGCAAACCCGGACATAATGCTTTGTCCCATATCAGTTATTAAGCAATGTTTTTCTGTTTCATGTGGATGGTGCAGATTTTTTTCTGTATTTTCTAAAAAACAACTCTTTTTGCACACTTTTGAAATACAAAACCAAATGTTAAGTAAATGGATTTATTAGAAACTCTTCAACTGTTGTGTAAATTTTGTATAATGATAAAGTCAGCATCTATTATCTGTACAAGGGAAAATTGGAACATTTTATAAGCTTCAGCTGTTGTCAAATTGATTGCCAGTTGGTCATTTTGGTAAAAATCAGTAAACGAACCCAACATTTAACGAGACAAACAGTTGTAAATAACCCACGAGCGCATGCGGGCAAGGAGTTGCATTCATCTGGTTGCTGGTAACAACATTACGACTTCCTGACTTGTCGACTTCTCGTATGGCCTTTTAATATGTCTGTCCTCTGATCTATATTGTTTCTTTGATCGTTATGAATAAATTCTAAAAGGGTAAAGGTTTAAAAGGGTACATCAAACGAGTCGTTTTTCATCTCCTGATGATTAGTGTTCCATTGTTTGTAGGCTACTCGAAGCCTGCACGTTTTTAAACATTAGACTTTAGAAATTCCGGTAGGAAATTTGAAAGTCATGAAATATTAAAGAAAGGTCTCATCAATGGAAAACAGACTAATTAAAGATTTAGAAGACTAAAAAAACAGACATATGCAACGGAGAAAGTGCACGTAGAAGAAGCATTTGTCGTTCTGTGATTGAGTAAATTAAGGAGCACCACCTACGACTAAGCTGGCCTTAGTTCAAAAGATTCCAGTGCATCATAGCATCGATCTGTATCCAGAGAGATGGCCGCAGATGTAAATATTAACCAAGACCTATTGGAAACTTTTTATCAGGTTTTTTTATTCAATTAATCCACGCGCTTTTAACCAGACCGCAAAACAACTAGAACTCAAGAAAATTGTAACCCACTTATAGACATCCCGACTTTGTAACTGCGGTCTGAAGGGATTTGGACGGCGATTTAATGTGATTTTTGTAGCTGTTTTCTCTTATGGCATTTGATTTTTGATAAACAAAGCAGCAGGGATGCTACTAAAGGTCTAAAGTCCCTAGGCTACCTTTTACGACAGTTGATTCAACTGCGATATTAAATGAAATATTTATGGTCAATCATTGATTCTGCTTATCAATTTACAATCGCACATTAAAAATGCAATCAATTATCTCAAGAATCAAATTTAAGTCTCAATAGGTGTGTACCTGTGTATGCGGCCATGAAGATGTTAGTGTCAGGGGTTTTAATGTGATATAGATTGATTTATATTACATAATACAACAACGCAGTAAGCAGCTTGATACAAAAAGATGTGGTATATTATCTGTTGTTCTATATAATTTCATAATAATATAATACACTTTCATATTATAGTATGATACAATATGATTAAGTATAAAATGATTTCAGATAATATAATATGATTTCAGATAATATAGTATAATATGATATAGTATGATATAGTATAATATAATAAAATATAATAAAATATAATATAATATAATATAATATAATATAATATAATATAATATAATATAATAATATAATATAATTATTAATATAATATAATATAAATAATATAATATAATTATAAATAAAAAAAAAAAAAAAAAAAAAAAAAAAAAAAACAAAAAAAAAAAAAAAAAAATAATATAATATAATATAATATAATATAATATAATATAAATATTAATATATATATAATATAATATAATATAATATAATATAATATAATATAATATAATATATTAATATATATAATTATATAATATAATATAATATAATATAACTATAATATAATATATATATAATATAATATAATATAATATAATATAATATAATGTTATATAATGTTATATAATGTAATATAATGTAATATAATATATATAATATAATAATATAATATAATTAATATATTAAATAATAATAATATAATATAATGTAATGTAATGTAAATAGTAATGAAATGTATGTAATGTATGTAATAATGTACATGTAATTATGTATGTAATGTACATGTAATGTAATTTAATTTAATTACTATAAATGTTATATAACATAACATAACATAACATAACATACATAACATAACATAACATAACATAACATAACATAACATAACATAACATAACATAACATAACATAACATAACATAACATAACATAACATAACACAACATAACACAACATAACACAACAAAACACAACAAAACACAACATAACACAACATAACACAACATAACACAACATAACACAACATAACACAACATAACACAACATAATATAATTTACTGGACAGGATATATATTTTCAGCGTAGGTAGTTTGTAAATTAAGGGACTTGTTTTTAGAAGCGTTAGAAAGCATATATGCTTGAGCTCTTCGTGTATTTAGAACTTAAAGAGCCTTTTATAGAGAAATCTATAGCTCAATTGGTAGCATAAACTTGTATATTCAGTATAAGAAACAGTCAAGGATTTCAGGACACCAAGAAACCAGTCCATTTGAAACTGCTATTTGAACTTTCCGGTCTTCAAAGACGATCGTTGCTTTCATGCACTCATTTTCTACAAGAGCCTGTGTATGAAAATCTACCTCTAAGATGACCATAGTACTGATCACCGTCAACCTCTCTAAAATGCTCTAAAGCTGCTCTAAAAAGAATATTTTAAAGATGGGACGAAAACTTTTTCCTTTGACGATTAGATACCAATTTTTTGACTCAATTAGAAGTGATAATAGAAAGAAATCCTTGTGGCTGATAAGTTTTAAATATCATGCTATCTTATGTTTCTTTTTTGGTTCTAAAAACAGGGTCTCTAGCAGTTGGTACTAGAGAAACCAATAATCAACCAAAAATTTCGAAACTAGTAACTAATGTCGTGTCTGGTTTGTCTTAGAAACAATCGGCGTAACTGAATAATGATCAACTGCAAATTAGCGATCGCAGCTGATGGAACAGAGTCAGTTAGAAACCTTTTTATTCGTATAATTTTTTGCCTTTGTCTCACTGACGAGACCTTGACCTAGATCAGGAAAAACAATCAACTAGAATTGATGTTGGATGTTTCAGAAGATCCTGTATTACATCATGATCTAAAGTACCATCCTCTTTAATCTGATATGGCAATCACATGACATGAAGAAGTATCAGACCGCAGTATCTTGATCTCCATCAGCAGATCCTTATGTACGTCTACTTCAATCTGAAAATAATCGAATTGAAAATAAATGCTACCACACAACAGTTCTGAAATAAGATTGTCTTTTAACGAGGTCTTCAGTCTTGATAACAAATTAAGCAATGTCATTGGGAACAAAGTACACAATCGTTTTGTAGCCTTTACCACTTGTTAAATTAGACAACAATATTAAATAAAGTGAATTTCTTTATCCAATACTGTCGCATCTGGGCTAAGTTGGCATTGTAATACCATTGTGGCCTTCCGTTAATTACAACGGTCACAGCCAGTGAGGGCCCTTCGTCAGCAAGAATTTCAAACTACTCTGGACAACAAATTGACCTGTCAAAGGAAATTTCCAGACAATGGTCAATTTGTCCTGTTTATATCTTCAAAATACCGTGATGCATTTGGAAACAAACTTGAAAACTTTAAAAGACTACACCACGAATATAGCTAAATTGCTATTAGTGGATAAAAACTTATTTCATTGACAAAGAATATCCATTTTGTTGCCTTGTCGGCTTCAAGTTCAAGCCTTAGTGGCTTTTCCTCTTTCCAGTATGTATTAATTCCAGAATATTCTGATCGTATTTGGGAATTTTATTGTACTTGTTCTTCGGTTCTGCCAAATGCGCTGTCTATTTCTTGACCGACTGGTTTTGACTGCGTAGGTTTTATTCAATTTTCTGGCACCAAGTTAGTGAAGAATTGGGGGTAGGGGGAGCTTGCCCTGCAAAGGGTGTCTTTGCAAAGGGTGTCTTTGCAAAGGGTGTCAGTGGAAGGGCGTCCTTCTTGAAGTAAATGAGTCCGTAATGTCAGAAATTGCTTTAAAAGGATCATTGATTGAACCATTGTAGATGACAATATCATATCTTAGAATTTTCAATTAGCGCGGCACGAAGAGGGTTTTGTGTGTCAAGTTGTTCTCCAATTGCTGTGCTCTGTCTAGTCTTCCATATCTTTTTATGCTTTTGCTGCTGTTTTGCTGTCTGTCATTTAAGACTTTGTTCTCGATCGCGACTAATATGGTTTCTTCTGCAAAAGAGTACTTTTCATTACTTATCTTTGTTTCTAGGATTTTTTTTGTTTAATTAACAGTATTACGTGAATTTTTTTCATTGAATCCGAGTGCACCAACTATTGCAACAATTGTGCGTTTTTACTTGTTGCTAAATACAATCATGTCTCCTTTTATTGTGAAAGGTATTCATGAAAAAGCCATAACGACAGAGAGTTCCGTGTTGACATTTTTATAGCAAAGCAAAATCATGATTAACAGAACATAAACACTGATAACTATTTTCTTGCAATTTTTTGTTGACTGAAGAATGTACGTGGTTAATATTCAAAGTTCAGCTTCTGCAGAATGAACTTTAAGCCATCCCTCGACCATGTTAATCACGCATTGTGTTTCATGATTTGTTCAAACCGGCCTTCATGTTTTGAAATTTTCCCTTCGTTTCAGCAGCAGCCTAATTATTTTAAGCAGCAGCCTAATTATTAGCTGTTTGCTGAATTTTTTTACTAAAGGAAGTTGCTACCTGATTTCAATTTGCACTTTCATAATTTAGGATATTGTTCGGGCATCTGATGTCAGAGTATCCAGTCGAGAAAACGCGTCCCAGGTCACCTTAAAGAAGCACCACACAATTTACAACAGTTTCAAAGGAGAGGTATGTTGTCTTGCAGTTCTTTTTAAGGCGTTTTGTCTATAGGCCCTACTTTTACCCAGAAAACTCGAAAAAGCTCCAATCATGTCATTTACGGCATACATGTTCCAACCTCGTTACCCTGCGCAAAGTGCTATCTAGCGTATGTGGAGTGGTAGTCAGTTAACGGTGAACATTTTGTTTGTCAGCTCCTTAAAGACGATACGATACGAAAGAGTCGAAAGAAGCGGGAACGTACGAAAATCGTATAGCATAAATGTGATGTGCGCCACTGATAAACTAATTTTTGGAGTCATTTCTTCCAATGACAGCATTTGAGAAGTCTTAAAATGTCCTTCAAGGTAGAATGTCTCCTTGCCATTACTTTTTCTTCCCAAGAAAACCTGAAATACGCGCTCGTGCCAGCTTACCCTAAAAAAGAAGGGCGAATTAAAGGGAAACACGGAAGAGATAAAAGAGAGGCAACACATTTTGGAATTAATGAATCGTCAACTGGTCCTGTAGCCTCGTGTTCGTTGTTGTTGATTCCAGTTGCCATCGACCTCTATCTCATATCACTGATTTCACTGATTTTCTGATTTGAAGCTCTGTGTTTCTGGCTCAAAACCTTTTGATGTGCTGTCTAACTAAGCTAAATTTTGTGGACTCATTTCCTATGATTATTTGAGTCTTGCTAACCATCAAAACAAGGATTGCTTTATAGCTTAATTGCTTCATGTATCAATCTGATTCATAGATATTCTCTTTCACTGACCTTACTCTGCAGACACTAAGGACTAGCAAATATTTGGCTCTGCGCATTACCTTAAAGTCCAAGTACCTGATTTTTTTATAAGCAAGTTTAATCATCTACCGCAATACCTAAAAGCATGATTGTTATGGAAATCGAAAAATACGTTAAATAGATTTTCGCTAATATAGCTGTCACAGGCCCCTCTTTCAATCCTATTCAATCAAAGACGCTCTTTTGCTGTATTTTGCTGAAAATAACAAAATATTGACCAACTATTGATATATTTTCTCGAAAATTTTTTACATCCATTCTGTTCATCCTGATCTACAATCTTCCCATTCTTATATTTCTCTTGCTTTGTGCTGTTTTTTAATCTTGACAGTTTTCCATGTCAGCAATGTCTTATCGTCATGACCTTTTATCGGTGCATCAAGAGCCCTAGAAAAATGTATTCAGCCAAGTGTTCTGTGTTGACCTTGTGTAGTATCAAGATTGAGACTTATTTATACTTAAATTCATAAATCAGTATCGGTTCACTTGGTGCAAAGAGCTACGTTAATTTTGTACGAGTACCGTTCTTGGATACGCCCATTGAACCTTGCATTTCGATTAGAATATAATTATTTTGACACTACGACCAGCTGGCTGTGATATTAAAATCAGCGCGTTATGGAGAGATATTTAAAGCGAAGTGCAGCTGCGGAGAATCTTATGAAGTCGAAACAGAGGAGAAGCGCCGCCAGTTTTTCAGAAGTCATATGTTTGACGCCAGAGCGGACTCTCAAGAGGACCAGCATGGATCAGACTCTTGACCAACAATAAACAGGTAACGAATATTTTATACACTGCTTATCTTTTTTTCAAGTATTTTAAATATAATAAATGATGGCGTTGGGTTATATCTAACGGTAATTTTCATATCGAACTTGAATTTGGAAGCTTCTATGCGATCCATGTGCTGTTAGTAAAGGTTTTTGCCATTGTACTGCACCGTAGATGCGCGTAGCTGGGATTGATACTTCATTTCGCATTTGTGCCAAATAGTCTGAATTGATTTATGTAGATGACATGATCGGGGTCATCTTTAATTGTGTTTATATACGCGGTAATTTTTTAATGAGTAATTTTTGAGTAGCTATAATAAAGCTTGTGTTTCCCAAATATAACCCTGTGATCACAAGAATTTGAAGCAAGTGATTCAACAGACAAAATGCGACTGTTGTGCTATGATATTCGTCCCTCGGAAAATTTTGAGCTGGTTTAAATCATCACCCATAAACAGGTCATAGACAGAGTTTTTGAGCTGTAAATTAAAATGCACTTTGCTACGTTTCAAAATGATTCCTAGAGATGAATGTTGTTTTGATCTACGGTAAACAGTCGTATAATCAACTCGATGTGTGAAGTTGTGAATGTCTACTTTTGATGTCTTGATTTTGGTTCTGTTTTGTTTCCAACCTCTTCTTGGCTGTCATGCAAGAAGGCTCATTGTTAATCAAGCAAGGATGCTTTTATTTATGTTTATCAAATCTGTTGGACTGTTTGATATCCAGGAACTAGCATCTATGCCCAATTATACCAAATCATAAAAAACACCATTAAACGCCGTAGCTAGCAAACTGTACTTAATCATTGGTTATCTGAAGTTGTCGTGTACTGTTGAGCCAAATGAATCATGTTTGTTTTCTTGTGCTGTCTACATTTAACTTTTTGTCTCTCTTTATCTTCCATTGTATCCAGCAAGCAGCTTAACTTCCTGTAGATGCAAAGTTATTTTGGAATTTTGCATGGTTTTTTCATCAGGTTATTTGGTGTGTAATTAGCACATAATTGCTTTGGGCTTTGTTGGCATTTACGTTATGTAAAGTTTCACCAAGTCGATGCCGCTGCTTATTTATGTCCGCTCTGTACAATGAATTTTGGTTGTGCAAATCTTGCTTTTGGAACTTTCTACCATTCTAAGCTTTTTTATCTGTTAAACTGAAGTTTGAATAGTAATGTCAACAATTGTTCTATCTAAAACTTTTTAGAGGTTGGCGTTTAAGATAGTGATTCTTGCACAACCTAAGTCTTTGATGGCTACATGGAAACTCCCTATACCACTTTGATAATTTCAGATAACTAGCCTGTCTTTAAAGTGCGAATCCAAGCCCTGGGAAAATTTACTGTTTCTATAAAGGTGTTTCTTGATTACTGTAATGCAAACTTCTCTTGAAAAACCAGATTTATTGTATAGAATAGGAAGGCCCTAAGTTGCTATTCCGAGTTTCACGCTTAATGCCACCATCAGTCTTCCGCTCTCTGTAATTCCAGGCGTAGGAATCACGAAGTGTGGTCACAGCGAGTGGAAGGACAGGACACTGCTCGATAAGCATAAGTTTCTCACTGTCCTTAAAACTACCTTCGGATGCTAGGTAGAAACAAATACATTACGCTTCAGATAAATATATCTGTTTATACATAATAATGTTTTACGGAATCAAAGAAATATGACACTATTTGCTTCCTGTCTCCGTGCATCTAACGACAAACATATAGCTGCTTGTTATGTGTAAGCTGTTTGAAAAGGAGACTTCTCATTATACACACACTTATATCCACATTCGCTCTATAGTGTGAATCTATTTATCATTCTAAGACCATCTAGTGCTCATATATTTTTTTTACTAACTTAGTATTGTCTCATCCAATCAGCCACTAAAGAGTTCTTAAAGCTTTTTGCTTTTAGATTCGTGTTCCATAGAAAGACGGAACATTATATTATGCCTTATGTAAAGCTTAGTTTCGGGTCTGAAGTTTCTAGTTTGTTTTTGACGATGATGTAATGAGTTCCGTCATTCATTTGATCTGACGAAAGAATGTTGTCTGATCAAAAAGTGTCTAAGTGCCAAAATCATTGTTGCCAGCCTTGTAGCAGCAATCTGTCTAGCCAAAGCTTCAAATTTTGCAATCTTTGGTTCGTTCAATTGCTATTTTTTAATAAATTCAATCAAAAATATCATATGTTGGATAGTTTCAGTGATTACACTACCACAACCAGTTTCTTGTTCTAGCAAAGAAAGACCAAGACCATTCAGTTCAGACACGTTAATAATCCTTAGAAATGCATCTATTTTGTCCTGCTTCAATCTTTGATGGTTGCGTTTATGTTAGTATATCATTCTAATAAAGAGCCTGCCGGATATTGTTTGCTAAACGAGAGACATAACATGATCCTTGCGAACACAAGTGTTCCAAAAACCATCACGACGTTACGACGGTTAGTACAAAGTCTAGTCTTATTAGAATTAAAACGATTTGGTCACTAATATTTTGTCAACGTTAAACATTGTCCGATTGTCTAATCGTCGGATTCTATACTGAGATACAATTCTAGACAAAATTCAATATTATTGATGCGTTTCTTTAATTGTTTACATTTCGAGAGCAATTGACCATTTAGTCTTATCTTGTAGCGATTAGGATTTCGGGTTTAAGATTTTCATAATTATGTTTTAATTTATATCTGTAACAATTAACATCTGTTAAGCCTGAAGATTTAAACTCCGACCCCCATTGAGCGAATTCCAAAATCAAACAACGGCATGTTTCATTGCAGCCACTTATCCTACCTTTTCACTGCTTAAATAGTGCCCTTGGCGACATGAAATCCTTTTTAGGCTCTTACAATCTTAAGCACTAACCTTATCAGTGATTCAGTGAACAACTCTTAGGCTCATAATGGTTTTCATTATCAATAAAACACATGCCATGAAAGATATTTTAGTCTTTTCTTTGTATTTTCTTTTGACTACTCGTTGATATTTTCTCATTGGTCTACCTTTTGTTTGTGTAAGTCCCGCTCACTTCTGGCTCTCCTGTGAACTTCACTTATTGTTCTGTCTCTTTCGATTATGTGCTGGGGACTGTGTTTGGACCACTTTGGTTATTCGGTCTTTTTGTCAGTTTCTTGTCGCTGGGATAAGCTGGTCCTTTGAGTCGATGCTATCAGCGGTAGATCTTTGATTGTCCTTAAAAGCGGGTCTATTGTCAATGGTACTTTAGTGGAGCAGCTATTGATGGTTTTTGTGCTGGTATTTTTGTCGCAAACAGCGCCAGTTCAAGAAGGCAGAGGCTCCTTACAATGGCAACGGCGTCAAAGTCAAACCACACCAGGTTTGGCTGTGGACCTTTACAAAGACACAGAGGTGTTCTTGTTAATTGCACTCATGGTAATCATTTGATTAAGTTTATTTATAAAACATCCATCTCTGTACGGAAGTGATTTTTT